TGCTTCACCGTAGGGATGGTGCCAGGTTTCCTCCAGACGTGACGCTTGGCATTCAGGGCAAAGAGTTCAATCTTGGTTTCATCAGACCAGAGAATCTTGTTTGTCATGGTCTGAGAGTCCTTTAGGTGCCTTTTGGCAAACTCCAAGCGGGCTGCCATGTGCCTTTTACTGAGGAGTGGCTTCCGTCTGGCCACTCTATCATAAAGGCCTGATTGGTGGAGTGCTGCAGAGACGGTTGTCCTTCTGGAAGGTTCTCCCATCTCCACAGGCAAACTCTGGAGCTCTGTCAGAGTGACCATCGGGTGCTTGGTCACCTCCCTGACCAATGCCCTTCTCCCCCGATTGCTCAGTTTGGCCGGGGGGCCAGCTCTAGTCTTGGTGGTTCCAAACTTCTTCCATTTGAGAATGATGAAGGCCACTGTGTTCTTGGGGACCTTCAATGCTGCAGAAATGTTTTCAAATAAAATACAATTAAATATTATTTGCCACATGCGCCGAATACAACAGGTGTAGACCTTACAGTGAAATGCTTACTTACAAGCCCTTAACCAACAATGCAGTTTTAAGAAAAAAAGTGTTAAGTAAAAAATAGATAAGTAAAAAAATATAATAACAGATCTGTGCCTCGACACAATCCTTTCTCGGAGCTCTAGGGACAATTCCTTCGACCTCATGGCTTGGTTTTTGCTCTGACATGCACTGTGGGACCTTATATAGACAGGTGTGCCTTTCCAAATCATGCCCAACCAATTTAATTCGCCACAGGTGGACTCCAATCAAGTTGCTGAAACATCAAGGATGATCAATGGAAACAGGATGCACCTAAGCTCAATTTCGAGTCTCATAGCAAAGGGTCTGAATACTTACGTAAATAAGGTATTTTTGTTTTTAATACATTTGCAAAAATTTCTAAAAATCTGTTTTCGCTTTGTCGTTATAGGGTATTGTGTATAGATTGATGAGGACATTTATTTAATCAAATTTAGAATAAGGCTGTAACGTAACAAAATGTGCAAAAAGTGAAGGGGTCTGAATACTTTCTGAGTGCACTGTATTTAGGATTTCCCCACGAAGTAGCAATGAACCATCATAATTTGTTAGCAGATCAGCTTGTGACTTTATCAAAGTCATAATGTTCGTTTTCATGGCTAACCTGTCACGTCTCTAAAATATTAATTATTGTTGATACTGAAACTGATTGTTCCGTTTTGATGTTTGACAGGTTAACGTGGGACCAATGAGAAGGACTAGTATTGGATGGTTAAAGCTGAAGAGCACCAGCCCTCTAGATCACCCAATCCTCTAGCCCAACCACCTATCAACAGGTAAGCTCTGCCTCTGCCGAGACCACTGGCTCCAGGTCATACCTAACACAATTCTCTGAATGGCGGGATTTCCCGGACCCAGATTAGGCCTACAGTACTCCTAAAGGCCTACAGTACTCCTAAACTAATAATCATGCTCACTCAAGAATCTCAATTGAAAATACCTCTGCTTTTTAGTCTAGGTGTTTGCTTAATCTGGGTCTGGGAAACTGGCCCTGTGTGGTTGTTGACTTGTCTCTCCTCTTTGCCTCAGACATAGATGTATGGGAGTTCAGGGAGAGTGTCAAGCTCCTTCGGGAGATCTTCGCCCAGAAGGCCTTCGACCCATTCCGGGGGCCCGAGGTACAGCCGGGACCTGAGTTTTAGTCAGACGCAGAGATCGATGTGTTTGTGCGTCGCAAGGCTGACAGCGCATACCATCCATCTTACACGTGTAAGATGGGCTCGCCATCTGACCCCATGGCAGTGGTGGACCCAGAGACACACGTGCTGGGCCTCGAGAGGCTCCGTGTGGTTGACGCTTCCATCATGCCCAGTGTCGTCAGCGGCAACCTCAACGTCCCCACCATTATGATCACCGAAAAGCCTGCTGACATCATCAGAGAGCGACCGGCACTCAGAGACCCCGGGGGTGCCTGTGTACCAGCCTGCATCTCTAGAAACCTGGCGATGAGCCTCAGACCTGTGGACCTGCATTGTTACCATCCCCTAAGGGCCTGTACAGACAGAAGCGATGCTAATTATTCATGTACACATGGGTCCGTCTCACCCCATCTTAAATTAATCCCAAAACACACAACTTAAAAAAAAACATTAAAGTCTTCAGGGACCACGGTGTCAGCTGGTTTTCATCTATACTTAATGATGAGCATCTGATTAGACCGCGGGAAAAAACTGTGTAGTAGACTCTGTTGGAAGTCAGTGACTATAACTTATATTATTGAAGTACCAATACAAGCTAACTGGCAGAAACTGAAACACTGAGACCCTGAGTTCCTCTGTTTTAAAACATCCCTGTTGATTCGTTTTCCCTAGTCTTGGTTACCGTCCTGATAATGCTGGTATTCTATCTAATCCGTATGTTCATTTACAATGAGAGAGACAACTAAGAGCTAGAGATGGTAAGTCCATTTACAGCACTATTACATTATCTCTTCAGTTGACAACCAGAGGTTGGATAAGGGGCACTAGTACAAAACAATTATTAATAATTAAATAAATAACACTAAATAATTTGATATGATTTGATCGACTCCTCTGGGTTTTTCTTTTTACATAAATGTTTACAATTATAAGAGATTGATTTTATATGAAAGATTTAGCTTTTGAATCGCCTTGCCAGTCATGAAAGTGTCTTGATGAAGTATGATGTCTTGATTGAAGTCTGCCATCGAACCTGGCATACACTGCCTTAAATTAAGTATGTTTTGTATGAAGCTTTAATCTATTGATTATTTCAGCAGAGCTGCAGTATTATGGTATAGTAGTATTAACCCCCATGTTAGTGTTAGCTTTTGACTACTTTTTAAATGAAGAATATTACCGAAGTCGTACGTCATCGCTTTGCACCCTGTGTTTTACACACTCACTAACAGCTGTGATGGTAATTTTTTTTATAATATGTAGAGTCCATATTTTTGGTTTGCATATTCCTGCCCCTGAGTACATATAGCACAGATACTGTCATCTGGAGCCATTGAGTGACTCGGAGAGAGTTTATTCAGTTGTGATCATTACAAAATCATCAGCATTCCAGGCAAATATTCAAGAGAATAATAGGAACGTAAAAAAAAAAAAAAAAAAAAAAAGGTTACAACAGTATAAAATCTGAAGGTAAAACTAATCTGCTACAAAGTGGAATCAGCTGTAACGTTAGCGGGTAGAAAGCAGGACTCTTCAAGTACAATGAATCACTTTAACCTTCACATTCTGTACAGGATTTTACACAACAGAAGTAGTACAAAAAATAAAGCTGTGAATTGCAGTTGTATAACAAACCTTTTGTGTTTCAATGTAGTTTTAGTTTTTCTCACTTGCAAACAGTATAAATAAAGATGATTTAATTTAGTGGAATATACCGTCACATATCACTTGGCAGATCTGACTCAAAGATCTCTGTAACCACATACACATTTGAAATGTTCTTGAACCAGTGAAATAACCTCTAGTGCAGTAGGTATTATTACGGGTCCTGGAAGGCATGCATGCATGCATACCGTTATGTCAGGATTTGAACCCCACTGAGTCTAAACACTCACTGAGTGGTCATTTCTAGATGGGATACAGCTTTTGTCAAATTGATGTCAAAAGTTTTTTGGGGGGGCATTTTAGCTAACCCTAATGATTTTCCTAACCTTAACCTAATTCTCCTAACCTGCTACATTAAATCTCATAACCTGCTGTGTAAGTTCTAACCTGCTATACGAAAAGTAAATTTTGACAAAAGCTGTATTATCCCTTCTAGATAAAACCCCACTGAGTGACCGTCACTATTGGCGGCCATCTTTCATGCCTTCCATCATTCATGTTTTGAACTGAGAGCATTGTTCTGTGTCGAGAGAAAGCTGGTAGTTATGCCGAGGAAACCCTAGTAGTTGTAAACACTATATTCCATTAGTAAGGAATTTATAAAGAGACATGACATGGGTTTATGTTGAACTTGACTTAACACGTTTGGAAAATGCATATTAATCATATAGCTTTATTGGCCACAGCTATGTGTCTTCAAAGCATATATTTTCCCTTTCAGTGTTTTTTGAAGGAGCCCTTTCATTGCACATACTGTAAAGGTTGACAGGACATGAACACATTTCCATGACAGTACCCAGTTGAAGAAGGACAGTAACACAGTAAACAGTTAAAATGCTCTCGTGCTGTACAATACACAATGAAACACAGTTGTCCTCAATGTAACCTGAAACTATTTTTTTCTGTTGGCAGTGAGCTAAGCTGGTAAATGGTAAATGGCAAACCCTACTTCTGTAGAACCATACTGTACGTACACTTCAGAGAAATAAGCTCTTTTTGACATCATAGTCATTCTAAATCAACATTATCCTCCTCAAACTGCTATGCTTAAACAATGCATTCTAGCGGAAAAAAGGCGACAACATTATAAAATATAATTTCATATTAATTCACAAATAAAACCAATACATATCTATTTCATAGGCATAGGGACGATATTGCTATACCTGTAACAATTCATAATTAACCAAATATAAAGCATCTCTTTCATATAGTTTCTTTTTCTTACAGGGTTAAAAAATATCTACAACTTAATAGCTTTTTCCTTTCACTAAAACAACATGGCTGCTAGTGTCTTTACCTGTACATGTGTCTATCTATCGGAACCCTGTCATCCCTGAAGATTGATTGGTTGGGCAGGAGTGAGTGTGTGATATTAGAGTACACTGTTTTCTTGTGTGTTGGTTCACAGTTTCAAAAAGTGGTCTGTAAAATGGCCACCACTACACCTATGACTCACTATTCTCAGTATCTCTGTGCAGAGGGTAAGGCAAATGGAAGGCAGGGGGGATATGCCTGAGGATTGGAACGTGATGTCACTGATATGTGATTCTGTATGAAGTCGTTGAGGGGGTGACACTACTCCTACTCATCCTAAGTTCACTGCAAACCCAGCATTACTGCATCCCCTACGGGACAACCCTTTACTTATATCTCACTCTCTGTTTCACTGGGTGTTGCCAGACAGAGAGAAAGGAAGGGGTGGAACTCCTCTGTAGTTGGATCCTTAGCGTGTCCCTCCATCCCTCCCCTCCTCTGTTGTTGGATCCTTAGCGTATCCCTCCACTCCTCTGTAGTTGGATCCTTAGCGTATCCCTCCACTCCTCTGTAGTTGGATCCTTAGCGTGTCCCTCCATCCCTCCACTCCTCTGTAGTTGGATCCTTAGCGTGTTCCTCCATCCTTCCACTCCTCTGTAGTTGGATCCTTAGCGTGTCCCTCCACTCCTCTGTAGTTGGATCCTTAGTGTGTCTCTCCATCACTCCACTCCTCTGTAGTTGGATACTTAGCATGTCCCTCCATTCTTCCATTCCTCTGTAGTTGGATCCTTAGCGTGTCCCTCCATCCCTCCACTCCTCTGTAGTTGGATCCTTAGTGTGTCTCTCCATCACTCCACTCCTCTGTAGTTGGATACTTAGCATGTCCCTCCATTCTTCCATTCATCTGTAGTTGGATCCTTAGCGTGTCCCTCCATCCCTCTGTTGCTGGATCCTTAGCGTGTCCCTCCATCCCTCCACTCCTCTGTAGCTGGATCCTTAGCGTGTCCCTCCATCCCTCCACTCCTCTGTAGCTGGATCCTTAGCGTGTCCCTCCATCACTCCACTCCTCTGTAGTTGGATCCTTAGCGTGTCCCTCCATCACTCCACTCCTCTGTAGTTGGATCCTTAGCGTGTCCCTCCATCACTCCACTCCTCTCCAGCTGGCAGTGTTTCCATCCATTCATTCCACAGAAAGGCACTTTGTTCTCTTGCTTGTTTGTTTGTTGGATTGCCGTGGCTGCATCCAAAAAGGCACATCTCTCCCTATATAGTGCACAAGTGCATTTCATCAGGTATAGGGTGCCATGTCAGACGCAGCCTGTGTCTAGTGTGAGTGACTGCTATAGGGTGCTGATGCACATCATCTCATCAGTCAGATCCTCTTCACATTTCACACTCGTGTCCGGCTCCTCATCACTGTAGTCATGGAGATTACGGTCCCCGAGGCTCGTGGCCGTCACTGTGTCCGTGGCCCCGGTTGCTCCCGCCCCATTACCCATACTGCCATTCAGCAGGTTACTGGCGGCACTCTCCATCTCGTCGATGGTCATCTCGCAGGCGTCCGCGATCTCATGCTTCGTCACAGCCACAAATTTGGGGTCCTTGGCGTATTTCCCCAGTCCTTCTGAAATCAACACCTGAAACAGGAAAGGGGGGGAAATCATTAAATCAATCTAAGTGTGTGTGTGTGTGTGTGTGTCAGGGCTACTCACGGCCTCCACTAGGCTGTTGGCGCTGCCTATCTTCTGGTGGTTCTGCCTGCGGTACTCTGGGGGGATCTGGAGCTGTGAGGGGGAGTAGGTGCGGCTCAAAGGGGCTTCAGGAGCATCAGTGTACCAGGAGCTTCTTCTCACAGAGCCAGGGGTGCTGCTCACACTGCCCAGACCACGCCAGTCCACCTGGATACACACAAATACACACATTTTACATTTACATTTTACATTTTATTCATTTAGCAGACGCTCTTATCCAGAGCGACTTACAGTTAGTGAGTGCACACAATTATTATTTTCATACTGGTCCCCCGTGGGAAACGAACCCACAACCCTGGCGTTGCAAACGCCATGCTCTACCAACTGAGCTACACGGGACTACGTGGGACTACACACACAAAAATGTATCCACACATTTACATTCCTAAATGTACACACACACATACCTGGATGAGGGGTGTGTAGTAGGGGGAGTGGTCCCTGCTGATGGGGGAGGTGGGGGGTGTGGCCCAGGAACGTAGAGAGCGTGACGGAGAGAGACGCTGGACTCTGCTGGAGTCCAGGCCTGCCACTGCCATCACCTAGGCAACAGAAGAAGAGGGGTCAAGGAGGTCAAACCACATACACATACCTTTAATTCATTGCCTAAATTAAGACTCACACATCGTTTGTGTGTATGTGCAGTGAGTTGTGTCAATCTTTTGTAAGCTAATTGTGTGAGAGTAAGTCTTTCAGTGCATATGGGTAGCCATCAGTTTGGTTCAGTGGTCCCCACCTGTTGCTGCATCAGATGCAGGGGTAGAGCTGTTCGATGGGGAATGGAAGGGGTCAAGGGGATGTCATCATCCTGACTGCTTTGTCTCCGCAGACACTCAAAGTTGAACGAGGGTCTGTGGGGTGCTGGAGGTTTAAACAAAGGAGAGACAACTATCATTTACATCTATGGATCTCATTACAATGTAAAGCCCTTTGAGTGTTCCATCATCATCTTTATCAGCCAGTCAGTGACACCCCTGATTTAATCACTACGGTAACCAAGGGACCTCACCCTGGGGTGTAGAGGGGAACAACCGTCGCTTCGGCGACCGCCCACCATCCTGGTAAATGGGTTGCTGGTCGTCGTCATAGAGACTATCTGGTTGATGGTAACCCCTCGATGCATTTGTGTCAAAGTCAGTTTGAGGGTCTTGAAACTCGTTATGGGGCATCCTGAACAACAACCAGACAACAACATCAGTAAACAACCACCTTGTCAACAGCAGCCACATCTGGACAGGTACTGATAGAGTAGAGTTCAGTAGAGGAGAACACAGTAGAGGAGAGGAGAATAGAGGAGAGTATAGTAGAGGAGAATAAAGGACAGGAGAGTAGAGTATAGTAGAGGAGAATAGAGGACAGGAGAGTATAGTAGAGGACAGGAGAATAGAGGAGAGTACAGTAGAATACAGTAGAGGAGAGGAGAAGTGCTTTCCAGGTGATACCTGTCTTTGTGCAACATGATGTCATCCTCCTGGTACTCCTCCCCGCTGAAGTATTCTCCTGAGCCCTTGTCATCATCACTGTCTGCCCCCCCTGGCTCCTCTCTACAGATGGTGGGGTACAGAACACCCCCTGATTCTGACCTGAGGTCAAAAGGTCAAAGTTCAGCCAGAAGCATTTTTAAGGGGTGATTGAGGAAATGGCTTGAACACGTGATGTAACTGTACAGCAAATACTGTACATACAGATCATAGACAAAAGCCATGCATTTGAAAGAAGATGCATATTAATTCATCAAATGGTTTACAACTGTAAACAATAGTATATCAGTAAAGCAGATCATATAAACCAATGCGAGTCATTAAAGGGTGATACAGTAGTTTCACACACATACCTAATGTAGGTCTCATAGTAGAGCCTCCTGTCCAAGCAAGTACGTGGTGGTGAAGGGAATTTGTATTTGGGACAGGGGAGGGGAAGGGCATGCAATGACAAAGACAAGACATCTGTTATGTGAGACAAACAGAAATAATAATCCTGGTCATAAAATGAATGGGTCTGGAGTGTGTGTGTGTTGCTGATAGATACACACAATTCCAGGATTTCAACATAAAGAGCTCTTAGTGGTGCAAGAATGAATGGTGCTGAAAATATCCATTCTATGAAAGGCCAGGATATGTGAAGGACATAGCTGTGGTAAGGATGTGATGGGGGCAACAACTTCAAAACCCAAACGCCCTATTCAGATCCACATCTGTTGTCATAGGGTTCATCTCATAGAGCTCCACAGCTCCTAGACATTACGCAAGCAGGTAACCATTGTTCTCATCACACATTAATTAAAATCTACAATAATCCCCTAGTTCATTACCACACTGTATAAAAAAATATGTTGATTCAACTTACAATTGTAAGGCAACCAGCTGCAATAGGACTGCCAGTTTGCTCAACAAAAATTTGGTTGAGAAAACAACAGAAAATATGTGTGAAAATGTTGTTGAGCAAACTCACTATCTTATTGCTCCTTGTTGCCTTACAATTGTACGTTGAATCAAATTTTGTTTTTTACAGTGCATACATTCATTGACTACTGCATAAAAAATGGAGAGAACCATAATATTATGTAACCTTTAACCAGAAAGTCCCTTTTTACGAGGGAGACCTAGCCAAGAAAGAAGCATCCTAAGTTACCTTGCAGACTGGACCGTGGTGAGGGTGTCGAAGTCAACACTCTTGCGGTGCGAGCTGGAGGAGGGTGCCCCATTAGCGGACGAGTGCTTGCGGCGGAGGCAGCGGCGCTGCCCCCCTTTGGACAGGGAGGGCACAGTGGGCACGTTAGCATTGTTGAGGTTGGCGTTGGAGGACATGGGGGATTTGGGGTAGTAGTGGTTGTAGGGGTCGCCTGCCCCTTCCTCAGAGCCGACCTGGGAGGGCTCCACGGAGGCGTAGCAGGAAGGAGGCAGGACCTGGAGGGGCCGCTGGGTAACGGAACCCCGGTGGTCCCCATTAACGTGATTGGTGTGGTTGGTGAACAGCACACCGTTCCTCTGTAGAGACAGCACTCGGGTCAGTACAAGCGACCATAAAAACAAAGTGACTAAACTTAACCACTGGCTTTGGGTCTGTCCTGGTAAGTCACTGAGGTTTTAATTACAATCTTCATTAAATTATGTTCAACAGATAATGAAGGTATTAAATTAACAGTCCATTTAGTGAAGGTTTGTGTGGAAAACATTTTATGTAAGAGGAGTGACTTTAAAACCACTGGGTTGAATAAGTATCATCTTCTGTGTGTTCTGGGTTATCAGAAAATATGAGTGTTATCATCTTTAAACTGGTCTCAACAAGACTTGATTCCTCTCTGCAAATCATACACTGAAATTACAGAGAAATCCCCATTGAAAAACTAATAATATTACATTTACTGTCAACATCTCAGAGTGAAATACCTGTTGTCAGTGAGTCAATAGGCAAGCAAGCTCTTCCCACGGCCAAACAGTGGACCAACAAAGTAACTGTTTTATTTGGGGCACTTGATTTAGCTCAGCCAGCAACCACGTGAACTGAGTTTGAGACCATTCCATTGGCTGTAAAAAGCGAACTCTACTCTCCGAATGTGTCGGGTGAGTTAAAGGTGAGTTAAATCAAGCGCATCTATTGAATGAACTGGGACAGTGAATTACCCTATAAATATTGTGGTCTTCTTCTGCATTAATGTCTACAAGGCCCTCATCTTGCAGGTCACATGATATGACTCGGCGGATTTCGGGCCCAATATCATGCAGTGTGCGGAGTCCGGCCTGCAACGACGACAAGAGAGAAGCTGAGAGCCGGCAGGAACACACGCACACACACAAAGACACACACATGAACTGAAGCATAAGGTCAGACAGACAGTATAGTACACACAGACACTCAGACAAATCAGACTGAGGAGGTGCTTTGTTATTCAGGGTGAGTGTGCACAGCACTGCTAATCCAGAGTTGATACGAAACAAACTCATTTCTGAGGAACAACATTCTCTGTATCTCTAATTTTCTCTAGAAGCAGATAAGAAAGGGGATAGTCTGCAGCTGTAAGCATGGCCAGAGGTGATATAGCAACGTGCAGGCCAGGGAAGCAGCATTGTGTTCTGGTGCAGTGGCCTGCTGCTTTGCAGATGTCATATGTCCAGTGGTGATTGGACAAAGCACTACTAGTGTGATTCAACCAATCGCTAACTAGCAGTTACATAGTGTTTACACTTATTAATGTATTATTATCTTACTAAAATAGCAACATATTTTGGTTTGTAAGTCCTATCATCAGTTAGTTTCAAAGTTATTATCTTTTAAATTGTACAGTATCTGCAGTTAAAATAGACTTGTTGTGTTACATACGGTGTACACAGATTGGCCATAATAGTGGGAGTTTGGTTAGTATTGACAACTCTAGAGAAGGTAGAATGGTACAGTCCAGTACAGAACAGTACAGCAGTTGAGACTCACCTGGAGGGCGATGGTGGAGTTCAGGCTGGAGAATGAGTGTCTTCCCACCAGGCCTTGCTCTTTGCGTTTCTTGAATTTCCTGAAGTAGTCCTGTATCAGGAAGGTGGCATAGAACTTCCCCACGGTTACCTCGTCATCTGAGTGAACAGACCACACAAACGCCTCCACTGTCAGCACCGCACCACGCCGCACAGCATCCTGGGAAATAACACTTGGCCCGAAGACACACAACTGTACGCTACCTCTCCTATACTAACTCTTCAGAGCACTTCAACAATCGGCTGAAAATCATATACATGTATGCTGTCTTTATCATGAGTCTGTTTTGAATAACTGATATACCCCCCCCCCCCCCCCTCCTCTTTTGTAGGCTCGCGGATCCCTCCCCCAAATTGTTTTTATATATACAGTGGCTTGCGAAAGTATTCACCCCCCTTGGCATTTTTCCAATTTTGTTGCCTTACAACCTGGAATTAAAATTGATTTTTTGGGGGGTTGTATCATTTGATTTACACAACATGCCTACCACTTTGAAGATACAAAATATTATTTATTGTGAAACAAACAAGAAATAAGACAGAAAAACTGAAAACTTGAGCGTGCATAACTATTCACCCCACTATTTTCTGTATGTCCATTACATGAAATCCAAATAAAAATCCATTGAAATTACAGGTTGTAATGCAACAAAATAGGAAAAACGCCAAGGGGGATGAATACTTTTGCAAGGCACTGTATACACTACCGTTCAAAGGTTTGGGGTCACTTAGAAATGTCATTGTTTTCGAAAGAAAAGCATTTTTTTTGTCCATTAAATTAACATTAAATTGATCAGAAATACAGTGTAGACATTGTTAATGTTGTAAATGGCTATTGTAGCTGGAAACGGCTGATTTTTAATGGAATATCTACATAGGCGTACAGAGGCCCATTATCAGCAACCATCAGTCCTGTGTTCCAATGGCACGTTGTGTTTGCTAATCCAAGTTTATCATTTTAAAAGGCTAATTGATCATTAGAAAACCCTTTTGCAATTGTTAGCACAGCTGAAAACTGTTGTGCTGATTAAAGAAGCAATAAAACTGGCCTTCTTGAGACTAGTTGAGTATCTGGAGCATCAGCAATTGTGGGTTCGATTACAGGCTCAAAATGGCCAGAAACAAATAACTTTCTTCTGAAACTCATCAGTCTATTCTTGTTCTGAGAAATGAAGGCTATTCCATGCGAGAAATTGCCAAGAAACTGAAGATCTCGTACAATGCTGACCTTCTAGGCAGAGTTGCAAAGAAAAAGCCATATCTCAGACTGGCCAATAAAAAGAATAAGGCTGTAACGTAACAAAATGTGGAAGAAGTCAAGGGGTCTGAATACTTTCCAAATGCATATATATAATATATATATATATATATATCTGACTGCATGTGTGGGTATGGATGTGGGTACACAGATCCGCTAGCCTCTGCGGCCCCTCATGGTGAGTTCAGATTTTTTGTAGCCCCCCACCCCCATCAAAGTTGCCCATCCCTGCACTAGAGTATCTGGCATTATCAAAATATGAACAGTTCTGAAACGTAGAATTGTAAACAGCCAAACAGACACTAGCCTCAACTCAATACAGTCATCATACCATAAAATCAAGATACGAAGCGGTGCAACGTTTGTTTTCTATCAAACCAACACAACCACATCTTACTAAACATACGAGTCTACCACACAGCTACACATCCACCTACAGTACCTAAGGCTTAGCTACAGTACAGGGACACCGCTACAGTTAGAAGCATCTAACAAGAAGACTACAGCAGAGAGAGAAGTATATCAATCAATCAATCAAATCAGCAGATGTCACAAAGTGCTATACAGAAACCCAGCCTAAAACCCCAAACAGCAAGCAATGCAGATGTAGAAGCACGGTGGCTACGAAAAACTCCCTAGAAAGGCAGGAACCTAGGAAGAAACCTAGAGAGGAACCAGGCTCTGACGGGTGGCCAGTCCTCTTCTGGCTTTGCCGGGTGGAGATTATAAGAGTACATGGACATTTAAGGCCAGATTGTTCTTCAAGATGATAAAATGTTCATAGATGACCAGCAGGGTCAAATAATAATCCCAGGGGTTGTAGAGAGTGCAACAGGTCAGTACCTCAGGAGTAAATGTCAGTTGGCTTATATCTAAGCTGTTAAGCGATGTGCAGGCCAGGGAAGCAGTACAGAACAGGGAAGCAACGATCTGTGTCACTCAGCTAGTTAGTAAGCAGACTGGGGACAGCTAGGGTACAGGAGAAAGAGGCAACTCTAGTTCCATGCCACCGGCCAAAAACAGAACTGCTGCAAGAAATTCCGGACGGCAGAGAGAGGGAGAGAGCAGAAGAGACTATGGAAGAGGGGGAAGAGGAGGAGGGAAAGCTGTGGAGGAGAGACGCTTGGCCAGAAAGAGAGAGAGAGAGATCAAGAGGAGTTAGTAAACTATAGCAGAGCATGCAATGCTAGAACAAGCCAAGCATCAGAGCTAAAGCAGAAAGCATAGTGCAGCAAAGGATAACAATGAAAATAAAATACCACAAATAATGGTTTCAGCAAACTATGGCACAGCGAAGAACACTACAGGTTGGTCATCATCAGCATAGTTCAACACAGCACAACACTACAGACTGTATAGGACAGTATGGCTCAGGTCAATCAAGCAGTATACAGAACAACAGTTCAGCATGGCATTTCACAGAAACACATGGGTGCTGCGAGTCTGCGTCCTATGGCACCATATTCCCTTCCTATACAGTACACTGCTTAGTGCACAATAAAGTGAATAGGGAGCCATATAAGATTGACCCTGGCCTGAGTATCAATAGGAAGCCCCAGAGTCAGGCTGCAATGAGCATGTGAGCACACTGTGGACGGAAAGAGTGATTGAGATAAGGTGAGTTTCTCAGAACTTAAGTGACGGTCTGCAGTTTCTCCCTGCTCACCTATCTGATCTTGCTCTTATCTGTGATCTACCAACTGGGACTTTTACAGCTATTCACACACAAAACAGGAAGTGAAGACTCAACTGTCTGTCAATCATGAGTCTATGCAAACTGTTTCACTAGATCAGTAAGGCCATGGATCACTAATGTCAATGAATTTGTTTATTTTCAAGGTGTGACTGCTGAGTATATGCTGTTAGTTCCATGAATTGATCATGTGTAATACCACTGCTGAGGGAAAGCTTTGTTACAGGTCAGCCTGGAGCATTGTCACGCCCTGACCTTGAAAGGCTGTTATTCTTTAGTTAGGTTGGTCAGGGTGTGAATGCTAGAATTTATCATGTGAATATCTAGGTATCTATGTGTAGATCTAGATTGTATATTTCTCTGTTGGCCGGGAGTGGTTCCCAATCAGAGGCAGCTGTCGATCGTTGTCTCTGATTGGGGATCATACTTAGGTTGCCATTTTGCCTACCTATGTTGTGGGATCTTGACTCTTGTTTGGCTTGTTTGTGTGTAGCCATTGTGAGCTTCACGTTACGTTACTTTTGTTGTTTTGTCGTGTGTTAACTTCGCTAATAATAATATAAATAATAATATGCCATTTAGCAGACGCTTTTATCCAAGGCGACTTACAGTCATGCGTGCATACATTTTTACGTAATAATAATAAACATGTATGCATTCCACGCTGCACCTTGGTCCAATCCTGTACTCAACGAATGTGACAAGCGCAGGATCGCCACCCTGATCACACACAGTACATAAGTAATAACACTGCTTATGCATGTAGTTTTGCACAGCGCATTTGTATGTTTAAAGTGTACATAACAAATGAGCATGTGTGGGTATACAGGGAAGTCTGACATGAGGAAGTCTTTCTTTAGCCATGCTAGCCATGAGGCTGGAGTCATTCTACTGACCGCCTGCGGGGGGCACCACTTGGTCCAGCAGCTTCATGCTGGTCCTCTTCCAGATCTTCTTGATGACCGCTCGCAACTCCTCATTGCCCTGTTCCAGGTTGCCTAGGAAACAAACACTTGGTGAATGATTTGGACCAATCAAGACAGCTATTGAGCAGGCCACTGTATAAGAGTATTTTGAGTACATTCATTGATTCCATTACCACACCAGTGTGTCGACAGTGATTATGGTAATGTTGGCTCTAATGTTATTTTTGGGGAACTGTGTTTCCATATAGCTAGGGCTGACACTGAGGACTTGTGAACATTGGCTCTAAATCAGAGCAGGTCCACTGAGGCCATGGCCCAGTGAGAAACTGGAGCTAGGCCATGGCGGTGGAAACACAAAAGTCTGAGCATTTTGGGTAAAACACTGGGGTAATTCCTTAGTGGAAATATGCCATCAGAGAAACTGTGTGATGATTCTGTCCTATAGACTTCATAGTATGTCCTCATTCAGACATCATTACTGTGTTAGCTCCCAGGAGCGCTCTTTTGCTACAGGCAGTACTAAATTAGTGCAAAATGCCAAGCTGCCCTATTCTCACATTAAGGTGAATGTCCACAGCAGCTGCTGCTGTGTTGAACGCACTGCTCACCTTCAGTTTTGATCTTCAGAGCGGTCCTCACCAAGGCAAACAGAGTGGCATTGAACATGACCGTGCCATCACTGTTCAGGGGCATATTCATTGCAACCAGTCTCTGAAAGGAGTTATGGTCATGCAACATATGAGTTAACCAGGGCAAGATTGAGCTCACAATATGAACACCTCATGTAATACTTGTGCTGTTTGGGTGTTCAGACACACCTTGCAGGCCACCCTATGTGGACACAGCTTGCCAAAGCCTAGAGGAGGCTGGATGCGTCTTAGCAAGGTCACCACATCCAGATGCTTTATCCTGCCCCTGAAAGAGACACAGAGACACAGACACTGAAACCGACACACCCCTGAAAGCAACACCAAATACAGAAACAACACACAGTGGGAACCAATGTAAATGAATGACTGCAGGGGTGTGTGTGTGTGAGTTTGTGTGTGTGAGTTTGTGTACTCTATTTCCAGATGGTAATGCAGACTCACTTGGCCTCAGGGTCGTACTCAGACCAGATCCTTTTAAACTCATCCAGGTGGTGAGGGCCCAGAATGGACCAATCACGCGTCAGATAGTCAAAGTTATCCATGATGACAGCAACAAACAGGTTGATGATCTGAAACAGAGGTATACATAGTATCAGTAAGGGACCACCTTTCTGTTTTCTCAATGACATTCAATTCAGCCAGTCCATAGCATCAATGCCTTCCTCTTGCAGGAACTGCTGACACACTCCAGCCATATGAGGTCTAGCATTGTCTTGCATTAGGAGGAACCCAGGGCCAACTGCACCAGCATATGGTCTCACAAGGGGTCTGAGGATCTCATCTCGGTACCTAATGGCAGTCAGGCTACCTCTGGCGAGCACATGGAGGGCTGTGCGGCCCCCCAAAGAAATGCCACCCAACACCATGACTGACCCACCGCCAAACTGGTCATGCTGGAGGATGTTGCAGGCAGCAGAACGTTCTCCACGGCGTCTCCAGACTCTGTCACGTCTGTCACATGTGCTCAGTGTGAACCTGCTTTCATCTGTGAAGAGCACAGGGCGCCAGTGGCGAATTTGCCATTCTTGGTGTTCTCTGGCAAATGCCAAACGTCCTGCACAGTGTTGGGCTGTAAGCACAACCCCCACCTGTGGACGTCGGGCCCTCATACCACCCTCATGGAGTCTGTTTCTGACCGTTTGAGCAGACACATGCACATTTGTGGCCTGCTGGAGGTCATTTTGCAGGGCTCTGGCAGTGCTCCTCCTGCTCCTCCTTGCACAAAGGCGGAGGTAGCAGTCCTGCTGCTGGGTTGTTGCCCTCCTACGGCCTCCTCCACGTCTCCTGATGTACTGGCCTGTCTCCTGGTAGCGCCTCCATGCTCTGGACACTACGCTGACAGACACAGCAAACCTTCTTGCCACAGCTCGCATTGATGTGCCATCCTGGATGAGCTGCACTACCTGAGCCACTTGTGTGAGTTGTAGACTCAGTCTCATGCTACCACTAGAGTGAAAGCACCGCCAGCATTCAAAAGTGACCAAAACATCAGCCAGGAAGCATAGGAACTGAGAAGTGGTCTGTGGTCACCACCTGCAAAACCAGTCCTTTATTGGGGGTGTCTTGCTAATTGCCTATAATTTCCACCTGTTGTCTATTCCATTTGCACAACAGCATGTGAAATGTATTGTCAATCAGTGTTGCTTCCTAAGTGGACAGTTTGATTTCACAGAAGTGTGATTGACTTGGAGTTACATTGTGTTGTTTAAGTGTTCCCTTTATTTTTTTGAGCAGTGTACAAACTTTGTTATACACATGCGCTGTATGAGCCTTAAACCTGTACATTTCCACTCTCTGTTTCTCTCAGGTAAGAAGAAGCCAGTGTTTTTCCTCTCTTGTTTCTGAGTAACTTAGTCACGCGGCCAAAGACAAAGGGCCGTCTGCGAGTGACCAGTTTCTGGTGCATCCTGTTCTTTTCATATCTTTCAAGGGATTCAGCTGTGTGGAGATATGAAGAGAACAGAGGCTAGCTTGAGCAGCAAAGACAATTCGATCAGCAGAAAGGAGTAACAAAACTGGCGTTAGCACTTGTTTGTACGCTATGTTCCCATCATGATCTCACACACCTGCTAAACTGCCACGTAGACAAAGGTTATAAAAGCTGAGACCCAACTCTTGTTCATTGGGCTCTTGACTGTTGCACCTGTTGTGCGATTGCTAACTGCTCCAGAATGCAATTCTTATAATAAAATAAGTTGTTTGAAGAATCTACAGTCTCACTCTCCTTTTCTGGTTAGAATTTCCATCACAGTGTACATGCTGTGATTATGTGTGTGTACCAGGAAGGCGCAGAGCATGTAGAAGCTGATGAAGTAGATGATAGCGAATCCGCTGCCACAGGTTTTCTCCTCTCCAGGGTTGTAGTCTGACTCTGAGTCACACAGCTTCCCTGGCAGACATGCCAGCATGATCTCCTGCCACACCTCGCCTGTAGCACACCTGAGAAGCATCAACAACAGTAATATTATGACGACAACGACCACAACTATTCACCATCCATAATAATAAATAAACTAGTCACACACAGACATACCTGAAGAGCATCAGGACAGCTTGAGGAAAGGTCTGGAAGTTGTTGTTACGGTTAATCTGTGTGTGGTCTACCAAGGCGATCTTGCCAAACACCTGAAACACAGCACAGTGTGTTATTGAAGAAATAAATGCTATTGGTAAGGTAATCATATTGTAATTTCAACATTTCCTAAATAAATGTCTGTCAGTTACCTGCATTCCAATAACAGCATAGATGAAGAATAACATGGCTATCAGAAGGGCAACATAGGGAAGAGCCTAGGAATGCCAGAGAGAGAAAGATAGTTTTAGTAGTTTGACTCAGCAAGGGAAGGTGCACCTTCACCTGTACGGTTACAGTCTGACCTGTATGACTCCACTGTTACCTGAGTAGGGTTGCAAAGGGAGGGTATTACTTGAAACTTTCAAAGTTTACCAGTAAACTGCCAGAATTTTGGTAACATTCAAGTTTCTTTTGGAATTTTATGTATTTCTTTTGGAACTGATGTCTGTACCCAGGCGGATGGAATAAAAGTTTGAGGGAGTTCCTCCCTTCTAAACTCCTCTGTGGAATTGTGCTACACATACTGTCAAAAACAAGTTTAATTTAAGAAGACCACAAGTGGGGCTTGTTATTGCTAAATCTAATTTGTGCTGATAAAAAAAAATCCATTGGCCTAAAGGACATATGTTCAAACTCGTACACTTTTGACAGACTGCAAATTATCGAGATATCAAAGTGTCACCAACAAAAATGTAAACAATAGGCCTATAGCAAATGCAACATGTGGCATTCATTTTTTAAATGCAAATAATGCTTTTCAGTAGTGCTCAAAGCATGCCATTCTATGAGAGCAGCATTTAACAACAGAGTAGGCTAATAAGTCCTTGCTCAGGTAAAACAATTTGGCTAATCTATATTTCCATATTTCCTATTCTTGAAGATCAAGGAGTATTAAATGAATTGAAATGACAGGAAATCTGACAGAATGTAAAGATGTAGCCTAATCATATTACTATCTGTATTGAAGTAGAAAGAACTGGGTTAGAAGAAGCCTACGGTTAGAGCGTTGGGCCTGTAATCAAAAGATTGCTGGTTCGAATCCCCAAGCCGACTAGGTGAATAATCTGCTGATGTGCCCTTGAGCAAGGCACTTAACCCTAATTGCTCCTGTAAGTCGCTCTGGATAAGAGCGTCTGCTAAATGACTAAAATGTAAATGTAATAAGTATATAGGTTGAGAGCTTTTGTGAAAGAGCACAGTTAGAAAGATATGGCATATAGAAGCAAACCGGATGGACATCATGAAAATGATCGGAGGTTGAGGGTAGATGAAGTTCAGGAGTAAAAACAAACAAAATTGAATTATTGTAAAATTGACTGTGTCCATAAAATGTATATAGTATGTATAAGCTGGAAGTAGAGGCCTAAGCATTGTTGTTCACTAGTTCACTCCAATTAGGGAAGGGGTGGTGGGGTTGGAAAGTAATTAAGGGAAATATATTTTAAAAAAGGAAATGTATATGTATGTGTATATATGTACAGTGGGGAGAACAAGTATTTGATACACTGCCGATTTTGCAGGTTTTCCTACTTACAAAGCATGTAGAGGTCTGTAATTTTTATCATAGGTACACTTCAACATTGTATGATTTTTAAGTAATTAATTTGCGTTGTATTGCATGACATAAGTATTTGATACATCAGAAAAGCATAACTTAATATTTGGTACAGAAACCTTTGTTTGCAATTACAGAGATCATACGTTTCCTGTAGGTCTTGACCAGGTTTGCACACACTGCAGCAGGGATTTTGCCCACTCCTCCATACAGACCTTCTCCAGATCCTTCAGGTTTCGGGGCTGTCGCTGGGTAATACGGACTTTCAGCTCCCTCCAAAGATTTTCTATTGGGTTCAGGTCTGGAGACTGGCTAGGCCACTCCTTAGTTGCCCTGGCTGTGTGTTTCGGGTCGTTGTCATGCTGGAAGACCCAGCCACGACCCATCTTCAATGCTCTTACTGAGGGAAGGAGGTTGTTGGCCAAGATCTCGCGATACATGGCCCCATCCATCCTCCCCTCAATACGGTGCAGTCGTCCTGTCCCTTTTGCAGAAAAGCATCCCCAAAGAATGATGTTTCCACCTCCATGCTTCACGGTTGGGATGGTGTTCTTGAGGTTGTACTCATCCTTCTTCTTCCTCCAAACACGGCGAGTGGAGTTTAGACCAAAAAGCTCTATTTTTGTCTCATCAGACCACATGACCTTCTCCCATTCCTCCTCTGGATCATCCAGATGGTCATTGGCAAACTTCAGACGGGCCTGGACATGCGCTGGCTTGAGCAGGGGGACCTTGCGTGCGCAGCAGGATTTTAATCCATGACGGTGTAGTGTGTTACTAATGGTTTTCTTTGAGACTGTGGTCCCAGCTCTCTTCAGGTCATTGACCAGGTCCTGCCGTGTAGTTCTGGGCTGATCCCTCACCTTCCTCATGATCATTGATGCCCCACGAGGTGAGATCTTGCATGGAGCCCCAGACCGAGGGTGATTGACCGTCATCTTAAACTTCTTCCATTTCCTAATAATTGCGCCAACAGTTGTTACATTCTCACCAAGCTGCTTGCCTATTGTCCTGTAGCCCATCCCAGCCTTGTGCAGGTCTACAATTTTATCCCTGATGTCCTTACACAGCTCTCTGGTCTTGGCCATTGTGGAGAGGTTGGAGTCTGTTTGATTGAGTGTGTGGACAGGTGTCTTCTATACAGGTAACGAGTTCAAACAGGTGCAGTTAATACAGGTAATGAGTGGAGAACAGGAGGGCATCTTAAAGAAAAACGAACATGTCTGTGAGAGCCGGAATTCTTACTGGTTGGTAGGTGATCAAATACTTATGTCATGCTTTGTAAGTAGGAAAACCTGCAAAATCGGCAGTGTATCAAATACTTGTTCTCCCCACTGTATGTATGTATGTATATATATATATATATATCTATATATGCGAGAAAAAATTACATATGGGGGATTGGAAGTAATGCAGACAATTACATTGATGGAAGTTACAATCTATCTGCAATATTAAAGCTGATCTACCCCCTAAAAAATATATATATAAAAAAAAATTTTTTACCCATAAAGTAAAGTGCAACATCCATTATGGCCAGCTATGTACATTCAAACATTGATTTATCTTGTATTAGATGTCGTTCAATTGGTAATATACATTTTTGTCTTCGTCTAATGCCTCTTAAGGGGAAAGTAATCTAAAGATAACTGAAAGTAATCCGATTACGTTACTGAATTTGGGTAATCCAAAAGTTACGTTACTGATTACAATTTTGGACGGGAAACTATACTGAACAAAAATATAAATGCAACATGCAACAATTTCTAAGATTTTACTGAGTTACAGTTCATATGAGGAAATTCATTAATTAATTAGGCCATAATCTACATATTTCACATGACTGGGAATACAGATATGCATCTGTTGGTCACAGATACCTTGGGCGTCACAATGGGCCTCAGGATTTCGTCACAGTATTTTTGTGTATTGAAATTGACATTGATAAAATGGAATTGTGTTCGTTGTCTGTAGCTTATACCTGCCCATACCATAACCCCACCGTGGCGGTGGGCACTCTGTTCACAACTTTGACATTAGCAAACCGCTCGCCCACACGATACCATACAAGCTGTCTGCCATCTGCCCAGTACAGTTGAAACCAGGATTAATCTGTGAAGAACACACTTCTCCAGCATGCCAGTGGCCATCGAAGGTGAGCATTTGCCCACTGAAGTCGGTTACGACGCTGAACTGCAGTCAGGTCAAGACCCTGGTGAGGACGACGAGCACCCAGATGAGCTTCCCTGAGACGGTTTCTAACAGTTTGTGCAGAAATTCTTTGGTTGTGCAGTCCCACTGTTTCATCAGCTGTCCGGGTGGCTGGTCTCAGACGATCCCGCAGGTGAAGAAGCCAGATGTGGAGGTCCTGGGCTGGCGTGGTTACACATGGTCTGCAGTTGTGAGGCCGGTTGGACGTACTGCCAAATTCTCTAAAACGACGTTTGAGGCGGCTTATGGTAGAGAAATTAACATTAAATTCTCTGGCAACAGCTCTGGTGGACATTCCTACAGTCAGCATGCCAATTGCATGCTCCCTCAAAACTTGAGACATCTGTGGCATTTTGTTGTGTGACAAAACTGCACATTTTAGAGTGGCCTTTTCTTGTCCCCAGCACAAGGTGCATATGTTTAATGATCATGCTGTTTAATCAGCTTCTTGATATGCAACACCTGTCAGGTGGATGGATTATCTTGGCAAAGGAGAAATGCTCGTAAATAAATTTGTGCCCAAAATTTGAGAGAAATAAGCTTTTTGTGTGTATGGAAATTTCTGGCCTCTTTTATTTCAGCTCATGAATCAAAACATTATCCTAGATATAAACCATCAACTTAGTGAATACCATTGGTATTTAATATGTGGGTTTCAACATGAAATATCCTTTATATATATTTATTTACATACTGATGGATTCTGACTTCTAAACTTGAAATATCGTTAATCATCAGTTATCCTATAGCCATGAGGAGTGACATAGTCTGGTTTATACACCAGAAGTTAATGGTTTTCTGTAGGAGGAATGTATATGGTGGAGGCAATTAAGCTTGGAATGTACTGAGTAAAGGAAAGGTTGCAGTCACTGATAAGGGTGGAGAGCTGTGGATTAGTGAGGAATAGGGTCGAGGTCAGGTCAGGTCACATTAAGGGAGAAGGAACAGTTTATTGCCTGCATCACTTAACTTCCTGCCTAGCAATGAAGATGTAATGTTTAGAGGGAAGGAGGAGGTCACCTAAATTGGAGTATATATATATATATATATATATATTTGTGCTGGTTGGAACATGTATTTTGTCTAATGCAGCTGTGTGACCCAGTGGGCGAATAAACTTGGTTTGAGCTTTACTAGTCGTCAGTCGGTTTTTACCTTGTTATTTAGAACCTAACAATACTTAAATGTATTTGACTATGTCAATATGTCTCTGTTGTAAATGTTTTGGCGTCAAACTGGTGGCAGTTGTGAAAAAAGTTCATATTTGGCAGAGTTAATTTAAAATAATGCCATTGTTGATTAGATGTTTTTTTCATTAATTAGGCAATTTTCTCTTCAACCATATGGTCTACCTACTAGAAACACATGGACAAAATGGACACAGATCTAAAAAAAATAATAAGGTATATGAATACGTTTAAAAAAAACTTTATTCAAGTATAAATTACCAAAGTTACCACAAATGACGTATTCATTACCAAAATTAGCGAAGATTCTGGTAACTTTGGTAAATTACTGGTAGCTTCGCAACCCTATACCTGAGCATTTATTCTCTCACCTGGAAGGACTTAATGAAGGTCCACAGGAGCGTTCGGATGCCCTCCCCTCTGCTGAGCAGCTTGACCAATCGCATTACTCGAAACAGACGGAAGAATGTGATGGAGATGCGAGCGCTGTCCTCAGTGTTCTGAGAGAAAGAGAGAGAGAAAGAGAGAGAGAGAGAGAGAGAGAGAGAGAGAGAGAGAGAGAGAGAGAGAGAGAGAGAGAGAGAGAGAGAGAGAGGAGGTTGAACACCCACAGGACTGATAGTGCTACTTTAACACACAGCTAGGAGCATGCCAGAGATCAACACGCAGTGTGTGCGTGTGCATGTGTACGTACGTGCACGTGTGTTCAAGCACCTCTGTGCATGCGTGTACACATTCAGGTAGAGGAACATGCAACAGTCCTTAACTTGTGTGAATGCAATGCAAACACGTCCCACACACATTCAGTAGCCACCCAAGTCAAGTGTCCCCACTCCTAGGAGTCATACAGAAGCACTCCACTCCCATCTCCACAATGTCCAGACGCATGCTTCATTGGATGACTGCTTTGGACACAAGCAAACCTGAACAAACCCACAACATCTACAGTATGATCCAGGTCAAACATGAACAAAACAACACAAAAAAAGACTGATAATGAGATGATGCTCGACACACACAAGATCCCAAACCAGAACTGATCTTGTCCATGGTACCAGCCCACAAAACAGGCAAGACAAAACCTCAACAAAGAATATGGTTTCAGAACATGATATTTCATGCGAACGAACGTGACGACTGACAACAGAAACAGCTCTGTGCTTAGACGACGATGACGATGAGGAAGAGTGAGGTACTGGGAGGGGCTTCTTACCCCTGGGTCCACAATCACCTTCACCACTGGGATGGCCTTGAAACCAAAGGTCTGGGTTAACCACTAACAACTTCACTTCTTCATCACTCATATCATTGAGGTCATCAATTAGTCATTGACATAGTTATTGACATAATTACTTATCTAACAACTGCTTCAGAATGTCATTACATTTCTTTATTGTTGATTCAATCAACCATCCATAACATTATTGAAACGTCTTCAACTAAAGGAATCAGAGAACATCCATAACAGACATGTTACATAAGCAACCGTTTTGACACTGCAAAGCACAACCACAGTAGCTTAGTACTGATTACCACACACAGTAGTACATTCAGTACATCAAACATGTCATACAATTCTACACAGGTGAAGAAAGAAAACACTAATATAATGCAGTACAACTTTGATCAGCACTAGAAAATACGGAGATCCCAGAAAGACAAACTTGATTTAATTGATATCAAATAACTATGTATATTGTTTCACTAGTAAACTTGAAACATACCATATAGTGAGACAATCTCTGCATATGTATGTGTGTAAGTCTATATGTGTGTTTAGATTTGTAATTCCAAAAAAGGGAAGAAACAGAGGCACACAAACTTCATGATGTCACAAAGTCACAGAACAGCATCAAGCATGGGATCGACTAATCTAGACAACATATTGGAGGGAGGCCTTGCAGTAACCCTGGGAGTGTTTTGAAACTGTCCTATCATTAGAAAATCGTACTAAGCTGGTAAAGATCTGACTCAGTTGTCATGATATTTATATAGATGTGACATGAAATTTGATCTCCAGGCTCATAGGGTTGCATTCAAGATTACAACATTACTCCAACACGGTGGACGCAACTTAACAAATAGATAGCTCCTTGGAAAGCTATTGCTCTAGCGAGCATAGTTAATGAACATGTCTGGGACATGAAAACATGTTGGGATCTTGAATGTAACCCTGATGTTATTGTAATGCATTCCCTCCAATAGTGCTACAGAACAAGGAGCATGAAGATGGCTACTTACATTGATCTCTGTGATTGCAATGTCAACGACGCTACCAACAACAATTAAGGCATCAAACGTGTTCCATGCATCGGCGAAATAGTGCTGTAAGCGCCAGCCCAAGGACACAAAGAGACGGGGAGAGAACAGAGAGAGAACAGAGGCAGAAAAAGAGAAAGAGAAGGATAGAGAGAGATGTGAAAATACAGACAAAACATGAAAATATACAGCAGAAAGTAGAAAAAAAAGAGTCTGAGTGGCACTGTGTCTGGGAGAATACAAAATGTATGCATGCTTCTAAGTAGTCCAAGTTTACATGTGAAACAGTTAATGAAGTTCTGACTATGATCTGTTATGAACCCTCTACAACCCTCTACTGTATAAGGTGTTGTAAGTCTCTCGCTGATACAGTGCCTACACAGTGCTGAGTAACTGGCCACCATAGACCTAGACCCAATACCAGTCCAGCACCAGTCCAGCATTGGTAATGCATCGTACCTATGGTGGCCAGTCCTGACAGAGGTCCCACAGTAGGACAAGGAGCCAACAGGGGGGGGAGTGAGTCTAGAAAAAGGTGGGGAAGGAACAAAGGAAGGAAGAGTGGAGGCAGGGATGAGGGCAGCTCTATTATAATACTCACATCTACCTGACTGAGAATGATGTCTACTACGCTGCCGATCACCACCAGGGCATCGAAGACGTTCCAGGCATCCCCAAAATACCCCTACAGGCCAAGGTACGGAGCCCAGCATGGGTGTGTGCGGGAGGGGGGGGGGGTCAGTGGAGGGTAAGAAGTAGGAAGGGAAAGGGTGAGGGGGGAGTGTTAAGGTAATATTACAGGGGAAGATACTTGGTAGAGGGAGAGTGGGGTGAGATAACTGGTCTATGGTGCGAGTTGAGAGGCAGGCAGACAGACTGACTCACCCTGGGTTTGAAGGCGATGAGTTTAAAGATCATCTCCACAGTGAAGACGCCAGTGAAGACCATGTTGAGGATGTCCATGGCATAGTTGAACAGGTGGGACTGGCCATAGTGCTGAGGAAATGGAGAGAAAGGGAGAGAGATGGAGAGAGAAGAGGGAGAGAGAGGGTCAGAGAAAGAGAGAGAAAGGGGGAAGATAAGGGGCATTAGAAGAACAGAAAGAAGGATGAGGAGACAGTTAATGAGTCTTACAAAAATGTCACAGAGACACAGAGAGACACAGAGACACAGAGAGACCCAGAGACAGAGAAAGAGACAGAGAGAGAGGACTATAGATGCATGGCAGTTTAGGGACTCACCTGGATGGCCAGACACAGTGTGTTGAGGATGATGAGGACGAACATGACGTACTCAAAGCCTGTGGAGTTGACCACATACCAGAACTTATACTGGTAGGGGTTCTTAGGGATGTACCTTCTCAGTGGACGAGCCTTCAAAGCATACTCCACACACTGACGCTAGACAGGGGAGAGAAAACACACAGTAATACACACACATATTCATGTGCACATACACACACACACACACTAACTAATTAGGTTGTTACCTGGTTCTTGTCCAGCTCACAGTTCTTGTACTCTTTCTCTCCCTGCTCCTGGAAGGTGACGATGACAAAACCGACGAAGATGTTCATCATGAAGAAGGCGATGATGATGATGTAGATGATGAAGAAGATGGAGATCTCCACGCGGTAGTTGTAGATGGGACCCATATTCTCTCTGTTGGAGTCGATGGCCTTGTACAGCAGACTGAGCCACAGAATAAAACACACACTAATCAGTGAGCTGCTTCGTCAAAATGTACAGTTGAAGTCGGAAGTGTACATACACCTTAGCCAAATACATTTAAACTCAGTTTTTCACAATTCCTGACATTTAATCCTAGTAAAAATTCCCTGTCTTAGGTCAGTTAGGATCACCACTTTATTTTAAGAATGTGAAATGTCAGAATAATAGTAGACAGAATTATTTATTTAAGCTTTTATTTATTTCATCACATTCCCAGTGTGTCAGAAGTTTACATACACTCAATTAGTATTTGGTAGCATTGCCTTTAAATTGTTTAACTTGGGTCAAACGTTTCCGGTAGCCTTCCAAAAGCTTCCCACAATAAGTTGGGTGAATTTTGACCCATTCCTCCTGACAGAGCTGGTGTAACTGAGTCAGGTTTGTAAGCCTCCTTGCTCGGACATGCTTTTTCAGTTCTGCCCACACATTTTCTATAGGATTGAGGTCAGGGCTTTGTGATGGCCACTCCAATACCTTGACTTTGTTGTCCTTAAGCCATTTTGCCACAACTTTGGAAGTATGCTTGGGGTCATTGTCCATTTGGAAGACCCATTTGCGACCAAGCTTTAACTTCCTGACTGATGTCTTGAGATGTTGCTTCAATATATCCACATAATTTTCCTTCCTCATGATGCCATCTATTTTGTGAAGTGCACCAGTCCCTCCTGCAGCAAAGCACCCCCACAGCATGATGCTGCCACCCCCGTGCTTCACGGTTGGGATGGTGTTCTTCGGCTTGCAAGCAGCCCCTTTCTCCTCCAAACATAACGATGGTCATTATGGCCAAACAGTTCTATTTTTGTTTAATCAGAACAGAGGACATTTCTCCAAAAAGTATGATCTTTGTCCCCATGTGCAGTTGCAACCCGTAGTCTGGCCTTTATATGGCGGTTTTGGAGCAGTGGCTTCTTCCTTGCTGAGTGGCCTTTCAGGTTATGTCGATATAGGACCCGTTTTACTGTGGATGTAGATACTTTTGTACCTGTTTCCTCCAGCATCTTCACAAGGTCCTTTGCTGTTGTTCTGGGATTGATTTGCACTTTTCGCACCAAAGTACGTTCATCTCTATGAGACAGAACGCGTCTCCTTCCTGAGCGGTATGACGGCTGCGTGGTCCCATGGTGTTTATACTTGCGTACTATTGTTTGTACAGATGAACGTGGTACCTTCAGGCGTTTGGAAATTGCTCCCAAGGATGAACCAGACTTGTGGAGGTCTACAATTTTTTTTCTGAGGTCTTGGCTGATTTATTTTGATTTTCCCATGATGTCAAGGAAAGAGGCACTGAGTTTGAAGGTAGGCCTTGAAATACATCCACAGGTACACCTCCAATTGACTCAAATTATGTCAATTAGCCTATCAGAAGCTTCTAAAGCCATGACATCATTTTCTGGAATTTTCCAAGCTGTTTAAAGGCACAGTCAACTTAGTGTATGTAAACTTCTGACCCACTTGAATTGTGATACAGTGAATTATAAGTGAAATAATCAGTCTGTAAACAATTGTTGGAAAAATTACTTGTGTCATGCACAAAGTAGATGTCCTAACCGACTTGCCAAAACTATAGTTTGTTAACAAGAAATTTGTGGAGTGGTTGAAAAACAAGTTTTAATGACTCCAACCTAAGTGAATGTAAACTTCCGACTTCAACTGTTTGTCTGTCTGGATATGCAAACGTGGGAGTGTGCATATTCACATGTGCATTTGCTGTGTGTGTGTGTGTGTGTGTGTGTGTGTGTGCATGCGTGCATCTGTGAGAGGCTCTTACGCAGGCCAGCCTTCAAACGTAGAGACGGTGAACAGAGCCATCATGGCCATGAGGACGTTGTCAAAGTTGAAGTCACTGTTGTACCAGATCCTCTCTCTGACTGCAGGCAACGCTGTGTCTCCATCCTTATACAGAATGTATGTGCCTCTAGAGGAGAGAGAGGAGGAGTTACATCTAAATCCATGTATCTACATAATCATCCGTATTTCCAGATAGACACATACAGTACCAGTCAAAAGGTTTTACTATTTTTTACATTGTAGAATAATAGTGAAGACATCAAAACTATGAAATAACACATATAGAATCATGTAGTCACCAAACAAGTGTTAAACAAATCATAATGTATTTTATATCAAATAGCCACCCTTTGCCTTGATGACAGCTTTGCACACTCTTGGCATTCTCTCAACCAGCTTCATGAGGTAGTCACCTGGAATGCATTTCAATAAAAAGGTGTGCCTTCTTAAAAGTTAATTTGTGGAATTTCTTTCCTTAATGCGTTTGAGCCAATCAGTTGTGTTGTGACAAGTTAGGGGGGGGGGGGGGGGTATACAGAAGATAGCCCTATTTGGTAAAAGACCAAGTCCATATTATGGCAAGAACAGCTCAAATAAGCAAAGAGAAACAACAGTCCATCATTACTTTAAGACATGAAGGTCAGTCAATCCGGAAAATTTCAAGAACTTTGAACGTTTCTTCAAGTGCAGTCGCAAAAACCATCAAGTGCTATGATGAAACTGGCTCTCATGAGGACCGCCACAGGAATGGAAGACCCAGAGTTATCTCTGCTGCAGAGGATACGTTCATTAGAGTTACCAGCCTCAGAAATTGCAGCCCAAATAAATTCTTTACAGAGATAAAGTAACAGACACATCTCAACATCAACTGTTCAGAGGAGACTGTGTGAAATCAGGCCTTCATGGTTGAATTTCTGCAAAGAAACCACTACTAAATGACACCAATAAGAAGAAGAGTACTGCTTGGGCCAAGAAACACTAGCAATGGACATTAGACCTGTGGAAATGTGTCCTTTGGTCTGGAGTCCAAATTGGAGATTTTTTGTTCAAACCGCAGTGTCTTTGTGAGATGCGGTGTGGGTGAACGGATGATCTCTGCATGTGTAGTTCCCACCGTAAACCATGGAGGAGGAAGTGTTATGGTGTGGGGGTGCTTTTCTGGTGACACTGTCTGTGATTTATTTAGAATTCAAGGCACACTTAACCAGCATGGCTACCACAGCATTCTGCAGCGATACGCCATCCCATCTGGTTTGGGCTTTGTGGGACTATCATTTGTTTTTCAACAGGTCAATGACCCAACACACCTCCAGGCTGTGTAAGGGCTATTTGACCAAGAAGGAGAGTGATGGAGCGCTGCATCAGATGACCTGGCCTCCACAATCCCCCGACCTTAACCCAATTGAGATGGTTTGGGATGAGTCGGACGGCAGAGTGAAGGAAAAGCAGCCAACAAGTGCTCAGCATATGTGGGAACTCCTTCAAGACTGTTGGAAAAGCATTCCAGGTGAAGCTGGTTGAGAGAATGCCAAGAGTGTGCAAAGCTGTCATCAAGTCAAAGGGTGGCTACTTTGAAGAATCTCAAATATAAAATATATTTTGATTTGTTTAACACTTTTTTGGTTACTACATGATTACATATGTGTTATTTCATAGTTTTGATGTCTTCACTATTATTGTACAATGTTAAAAATAGTAAAAATAAAGAAAAACCCTTGAATGAGTAGGTGTGTCCAAACTTTTGACTGGTAGTGTACAAATAGGCTGGGTCTCAGCACTCCAGCCCTTATGTTTGAATGAAGAGCAGTCAAACTCACTTGCATTCCCCTGGGCTGGACTTAGCCTCGTCTGTGCAGCGATAGAACTTGCCCTGAGAGAACAGAACATTTAACAGCTGCCATTCTGCCACACATATTACACACACATAACCACACGTATAACTACTGCATCATGCATCAACTACAGACAATACTGTATGAGTGTTATCACTGTAATGGCAGTAGGTACCTTGAATAGCTGCACTCCTATGCAGGCAAACATGAACTGTAACAGCGTGGTGACGATCATGATGTTGCCGATGGTCCTGATGGCCACAAATACACACTGGACCACATGCTGCAGGTTCAGGGGTCAAAAACAGAGGAGAGATAGAGAAAAGGTCAGGGATGAATTACATTATTGAACCCTGTACCCTTAGCATGATGATTTACAAACAGGCGACTTCAGTAGTCAGTTCTCTTGAGGAAGTGTACTAGTTAGAAGAGGTTTTCTCTGGGTGTGTTGTTAAACAGTTGTTACACTGTGGCCCACTGGCCCCCCGTCTCACCTTGAGGCCCTTGGCTCTGTTGATGGCCCTCAGGGGCCGCAACACCCTCAACACACGCAAGATCTTCACCACAGAGATGGCAGATGACCTGAACACAAAACACAGACAGTTATGGCCACATCCCTGACTGATTGAATTATTGATTGATTTATTGCATGATGGATCGATCAATCGATCAATCAACCAATTTATTCATTTTTACGTACTGAATGCCGAAGGACACCAGAGAGACTCCCACCACCAGTAGGTCCAGCAGGTTGAAGTAGTTCCTGCAGAAGGCTCCTTTATGGAGGAAAGCCCCAAATGCTGTCATCTGGAGAGCACAGGGAGACCGGCATCAGATATACTGACCTATACACTGGGCCATCTCATACTGGACACACAACAGGTTCAGCTACAACTGTAGATGAGCTCGACATGTAGGATCTTAATTTGAGCCAGTTTGCTACAGCAGGAAAATAATCCTGCAGCAACAGGAAATGTGAATTATTTAGTGGATTATAATTCATGGTCATTTTTGTGGGGGTTGATCCATTTTTCGAAATGGAAAATCAAGTCTGAAATTTCAAACTGTAAATTACAAACTTCATAAGCCTTTTTAAACCTCAAATACACTACAAGTTTTACATTTCCTGGAATGTTATCATGCAACATGGTGATCTTCTCAGAATAGGCAGACCAACACACTTACACACACTGATACAGATCTAGCTCCTTCCATTCTTACTCAAACTCCTACACATTCTGCTCAATAAGACATGAAGGGTATTTTAATGGAACAAAAACTGGTTTCTACAGAAACCAATAGACACAACAACAAATAAAACATTGAATTGCATGTCAGACAATAGAGAAATAATCACCCGTACATCTTTTCACATGCACACACACACACACACACTAATACACAAACATGAGAGCACAGAGGCATTGACATTTAAAACATTGACAAATGAGAACTGTTTCGGACATTGGACACATTATTTCAGAGATATGCTATTCATTTCCTGTAAAGATTAGAGCAAAGATAGCTCAACCCGTTTTCCATTCATCTACAGGTAATCTATTGGTTCTGACATTTGCATCTTTAAGCCCAGGCATAAAACATGAAACATGAGATTTGTATCAGTGGAGAGATACAGAAGTGTATGAAAGCCTCCCAAACCAGAGAGGGGGAGGGGGGAGGTTGCATTCAAAAGAGTAGAGTCTAATTGCTTCAGAGTCATTCATGTGTGTCATGGTTTCATGCACATTTTGTGGAAGTACTCAAAACAATCATATCAAAAACAAACGTATGACCGATAGAAATGGATGCGGACGTGAGCCCTCACATGAAGCAAAGAGAACACACAGATGGGGGCCTGGGCTGAACAGCAGAAGAGAATTGGGTCTGGGAAGCATGTCAAGGATCTCCTATCCTGGTTGCCAGTTCTGTTTATGCTTTAGCTCAAGCCAAACTGACAATGACAAAGGAGTTGTTGGCTAAAGTAGAAACATACCAGGGTAAAAATCTCTATGGTGGAGGTTCACAAAGAGGTGACCTACTATAATAATATGCCATTTAGCAGACGCTTTTATCTAAAGCGACTTACAGTCATGTGTACATACATTTTTACGTATGAGTGGTCCCGGGGATCGAACCCACTACCCTGGCGTTACAAGCGCCATGCTCTACCAATTGAGCTACAGAGGACCACATGAACCCTTATCTTTACAGGGTGCAGTTAAAACTGGACAGAATAACAAGGCAGTGATCCATGCTACTGGAGTGATCCATGCTACTGGAGTGATCCATTCTACTGGAGTGATCCATGCTACTGGAGTGATCCATGCTACTGCAGTGATCCATGCTACTGGAGTGATCCATGCTACTGGAGTGATCCATGCTACTGCAGTGATCTATGCTACTGCAGTGATCCATTCTACTGGAGTGATCCATGCTACTGCAGTGATCCATTCTACTGCAGTGATCCATGCTACTGGAGTGATCCATGCTACTGCAGTGATCCATGCTACTGGAGTGATCCATGCTACTGCAGTGATCCATGCTACTGGAGTGATCCATGCTACTGCAGTGATCCATGCTACTGCAGTGATCCATGCTACTGCAGTGATCCATACTACTGCAGTGATCCATGCTACTGCAGTGATCCATGCTACTGGAGTGATCCATGCTACTGGAGTGATCCATGCTACACTAAAAAATTTACAAAAATACATGCCGTGATGGTTGCTGACAGACAAACAGAAAAAACGTGCTCCATTTATAAACAGGCGACATACAGTTGAAGGGGGAGTGCAGCAAGACTATGGTTGTCATAGAAACCTGGTTACCTTCAACAGGATCTCAAAGGTAAATATACTAGTGAAGACATAATCTGCATAGCCTAGGATCTGGAAAGCAACGAGAAGGTCAGAGCATTACTACACAAGCACTAGAGCACAGCACACACACACAGGGGGGGAGCATTTACCTTCAATAGGATCTCAACAGTAAAGATTGCCGTGAAAGCATAGTCAAAATAACCAAGTATCTGAAAAAGGCAATGTGAAAGTTTAACAGGAGTTCAAGGCATCAACACATGACATGATATCAACAACTTCAGAATGCATCAACAGTCCTAAATTGATAACAAAGTATCTAAACATTAACTACTGCTACTAAGTATAGGTTTGAGGTTTTTAGTTATTTTTAACACAGATATTCCATACCACTATTAGACATGATCGTGACAGTGTCATTACTGTAAAATTACAGTCAAATCACTTTCGTGGAAGTAACAATTATCTTGATGCTATCAAATGTTATTTTTACAGTGCATTCGGAAAGTATTCAGACCCTTTGAATGTATCCATATTTTGTTACGTTACAGCCTTATTCTAAAATTGATTCAATTGCTTTTTTCCCTCATCAATCTACACACAATACCCCATAATGACGTGAAGTAAAAACAGGTTTTTAGAAATTTTTGCAAATGTATTACAAATAAAAAATTGAAAAATCACATATACTTAAGTATTAAGACCCTTTACTCAGTACTTTGTTGAAGCAACTTTGGCAATGATTACTGCCTCGAGTCTTCTTGGGTATGACGCTACAAGCTTGGCACACCTGTACTTGGGGAGTTTCTCCCATTCTTCTCTGCAGATCCTCTCAAGCTCTGTCAGGTTGGATGGGGAGTGTCGCTGCACAGCTATTTTCAGGTCTCTCCAGAGATGTTAGATCGGGTTCAAGTCCGGGCTCTGGCTGGGCCACTCAAGGACATTCAGAGACTTGTCCCGAAGCCACTCCTGCATTGTCTTGGCTGTGTGCTTAGGCTCTGGAGCAGGTTTTCATCAAGGATCTCAATTTTACTCCATTCATCTTTCCCTCGATCCTGACTAGTCTCTCAGTCCCTGCCGCTGAAAAACATCCCCACAGCATGATGCTGCCACCACCATGCTTCACCGTAGGGATGGTGCCAGGTTTCCTCCAGACGTGATGCTTGGTATTAAGGCCAAAGAGTTCAATCTTGGTTTCATCAGACCAGAGAATCTTGTTTCTCATGGTCTGAGAGTCTTTTAGGTGCCTTTTGGCAAACTCCAAGCAGGCTGTCATGTGCCTTTTACTGAGGAGTGGCTTCCGTCTGGCCGCTCTATCATAAGGCTCTGACTTGTGGAGTGCTGCAGAGATGGTTGTCCTTCTGGAAGGTTCTCCCATCTCCACAGAGGAACTCTGGAGCTCTGTCAGAGTGACCATCGGGTTCTTGGTCACCTCCCTGACCTAGGCCCTTCTAACCAGATTGCTCAGTTTGGCCGGACGGCCAGCTCTAGGAAGAGTCTTGGTGGTTCAAACGTCTTCCATTTAAGAAGGATGGAGGCCACTGTGTTCTTGGGGACCTTCAATGCTGCAATGCTACACAATCCTGTCTCGGAGCTCTATGGACAATTCCTTCAACCTCATGGCTTGTTTTTTGCTGACATGCACTGTAAACTGTGGGACCTTTTATAGACAGGTGTGTGCCTTTCCAAATCATGTCCAATCAATTGAATTTACCACAGGTGGACTCCAATCAAGTTGTAGATACATCTCAAGGATGTTCAATGGAAACAGGATGCACCTGAGCTCAATTTTGAGTCTCATAGCAAAAGGGTCTGAATACTTATGTAAATAAGGAATTTCTGTTTTAGTTTTTTATAAATGTGCAAAAATTTATAGAAACCTGTTTCGCTTTGTCATTATGGGGTATTGTATGTAGATTGATGAGGAAAACATTTAATGTAATCAATTTTAGAATAAGGCTGTAACGTAACAAAATGTGGAAAAAGGGAAGGGGTCTGAATACTTTCCGAATGCACTATATGTAAGAGAAAAGGCTGCTGCTGCAGTATACATACGATGTTACGTGCGGAGAAGTTACGTATGGGGTCCTCAGCAGCCAGAGACACAGAGCTCAGCATGATGAAGACCAGGATGAGGTTGGTGAAGATGTGATGGTTGGTCAGCTTGTGGCAGGCCACCCGGACCCTGAGAAAAAAAGCCATGAAATTACACATTATTTTTGAGTGTGTGTGCGTGTGCGTCCGTGCGTGTGTTTAGTACTGAGGCCTACTTACGGGTTAGTGTTGCTGAAGATGAAGAAAGCGCTGCCCTCAGGGATGGGCGGAGTCTTCTCCTTGATGCTGAGGTCTGACAGCCTTTGAGGGCGTGGGCCAACCGGAACCTCTGGCAGATTATCATCATCATTGTCATCATCACCAACTGGGGAGACCCAGGATCAGAGATAAGGTAATGTCAGGCCACGGAAGCTATGGCAACAAAGCTAGGACACTGACCTCAGAACAGATTAGGTTACCTGGAGTGTCTGGAGTGGGATACGGCTCCTTCCCCTCTTCCTCCTCCAGTGGAACCTACATTTATGAAGACACAAATTACATACCAGCAGTGTATCAGTACTGTTATGAATGCCATATGGTTTTAACTCACTGTATCATTCTAAGTGGGACACCATTCCACATTTTTTATCTAATGGCGCCTCTGTGTGGTTATGGATTGCTCTCCTCTGACTTTCTAAAACCCCAATCTAAAAACCACTCGGATTACCTTGAGATCTCCATCCTGGCCCTCAGGTTTCAGCTCCTCCATCTTGTCAGTGTCATCTCTGAAGATAATGACCCCAAACACAAGACAACATCCACGACAGGTCAGGAGGAACAACAGAAAAAGACAGACCATCCTCTCTTTTCAGTAAGACAGCGCTGACATTACCTGGCACTCTTCTTCCTCTCCTTCTCCTCCTCTTCCTCCTTCTGGGCTGTGTTCAGGCTCTCTGCGTCTGCCAGGTTGTCAACGGCGATGGCCAAGAAGACGTTCAGCAGGATGTCTGTTTACAAACTGGACTTAAGGGCAACGGAGATACAACAATGACCTAACGTTTGAGTGTAATACACTGTTCTTCACTCCTAGTCCTGTGGGCTAGCAATGTGTTCCAGCTCAGAACTAACATATTTGGTTCAACAAAACAAGCAAACTACTCATCAAAAGCTGGGGTGGTGCTGGGGTGGAACAAAAGCCTGCACATATTGCAGCTCTCTTGAACCAGTGGATAATACTGATCTAAATTCCATATGACTAGAGGCAATTGAAGCCATGTGTTATACATGTTTTAGAAACAGGATACAGTTTCCACAGACGAAGAGGATGATGAAGTAGATGCAGACGACCATGCCTGACGAGAAGGGTCCACCGTACGCCATGATGCCATCATACATCACAGCGTTCCAATCCTCGCCTGTAAGGATCTGAGTCACACAACACAGGGTAACGCAACGTCATCACAACGTCATCCCAAAGTTAGTACAATGTCATCACGACATTATTACAATGTTATTATTACATTATTACAAGTAATCACAATGTTATCGCAACGTCATATCACAACATTATTACAACGCTATTACGACGTCATCACAATGTCATTATGTCAATAATCATTGTGAGAGAAGCCAGGAACAGGTAGAGTAGGCCTACCTGAAACACTGTGAGTAGTGCCTGTGGGAAGTTGTCGAAGGTGCTCCTCTTGGTTATCGTCTCGTCGAAGTTGAACTTGCCTCCGAAGAGCTGCATGCCCAACAGGGAGAAGATGATGATGAACAGGAAGAGCAGGAGCAGGAGGGAGGCGATGGACTTCATGGAGTTGAGCAGCGACGCTACCAGGTTACTGAGAGATGCCCAGTGGCTACAGGAAAGAGAGAGAGAGAGAAAGAGAAGGTCAAGATGAATGCACAAACAACTCATATTCAAGCATGCAAGCACACATACCGAGAGACTGATATACATTCTTCCAACAGTATATGATACATCAAACCAGTGAGCAAAGAAAGAGATGCAACGTGAACGTATCACAGAGGTAAACATTTTGCCAATATTACACCTCCACCACATCAGTCTATGTCCAGCCCCTCCTGAAGTCTCCCAGTCTCACCGTGTGACCTTGAAGATGCGTAGCAGGCGGACACAACGGAACACAGAGATGCCCAGGGGAGACATGATGGCCAGCTCCACCAGGATGGTCTCCACGATGCCGCCACACACCACGAAGCAGTCGAAGCGGTTGAACAGAGACACGAAGTAGGCCTGCAGGCCCAGACTATACATCTTCACCAGCATCTCACACGTAAACAGAGCCAGCAGAACCTTGTTGGCCACATCTGGAGAGCAGAGGACATCAGCATGTAGACATTACAGTACAACATGTTCCAGTTATAAAGATCACTGCTATGGGGATCTGGTAGGAAGGGTTACTGTATGCTGCAGATACAGTATCTGGGTATGTCATAGGTATTGTCTGATTATCAAGGACAATACTGTAGTACAATGACATTGTAGATTGTAAGATTCAAGGAGAACATGGTATGTATGCTGTGAGTTCCTGAGGAGGACACTGTAAAGTACACATTATGCTGAAGCTATGTGATTGGAAAATGTTGATCCTCTACCCTCTACCCACCCTGTACTTCAGTGAGCCAGTCAGGCTGGTTGTAGTGCTCTGAGGAGATGGTGAGCGTGTTGAGAAACACCAGGATGATCACCAGCCAATAGAAAGACACCGACTTCACTGCAACACGACACTTCCTGCGGCAGAACCGGTTCCAGCGACGCCATCGCCGACTTCAAGAGAGAGGAAATTATGTCACAATCTGACTCGAACCCGGAAGTGGTCTTACATACTGGTTGATTAACACAGGATTTAATGCACAGGTTAATTGTGAACTGTAATGAAATCATGCTTGTTAGACAGAAGATCTCAAACAATGTCAGGGTCACAGACTAAACAAAAGGCAGACATTGTGAGGATGATGAAGATTTGGTGATGATGAAGAGGACATGGGCAGGAGTGCAGTGACTGATCAGGAGGGACAGAGTGTGTGTGGGGGAAAAACACAAGCGAGTGACGATGAATCTCCACAATGTGCATCAGGACCATGCAAAAAATCGAATGACATTGTACTGACAGAGGACTGACCTGTACTTAGATTTTATAATTTTTTGACTGAGGAAATGAAGAATCATATTGTTAATGTCCATTTGCATGAATGACGTATTACAGTAGCTTTTTAAGCCACTTGTCTATTCAGGTAGAAAGGAACCTTGAACCTTGACAGACACAGACACAGACACAGACACAGACACAGACACAGAGACAGAGACAGAGACAGAGACAGACACAGAGACAAACACAGAGACAGAGACAGAGACAGAGACAGAGAGAGAGAGACAGAGACAGAGACAGAGACAGAGACAGAGACAGACAGAGACAGAGAGACAGAGACAGAGAGAGAGAGAGAGACAGAGACAGAGACAGAGACAGAGACAGAGAGAGAGAGAGAGAGAGAGAGAGAGAGAGAGAGAGAGAGAGAGAGAGAGAGAGAGAGACAGAGACAGAGACAGAGACAGAGACAGAGACAGAGACAGACAGACACAGACACAGACAGACAGACTCACCAGAGTGGGCCACAGCAGTTAGTCTTATCGTCCTCTCCGTTGGGGTTGTCAGTGTTCACAGACTCTGTCTCGCTGGCGGGCATGCTTGCTGTTACATCACACAAACACAGGAAGTAAGGTGAGATCCAGTCGAACGATGGCTCTGACTTTCCGACCTAAAGAACCCTTATGGTCAGGTTTGGGGAGTAACTGTAACTGTAATCGGTTACTTTACCAGCTAAAATATTGTAATCAGATTACAGATACTTTTGAAAAACAAGATGATTACTTCTTGGATTACTTCTAAATTCAGAAAGCATGTTTGCGAAAAAGAAAAAAAATTATGACACCTTTCTGTTTTCTCAATGACATTCAATTCAGCATTGAATTTTTTTTTGACCACAAGTCAGAGACCATTTGATGGATCCTTTTTGTCTCTTTTTAATGCCTTTTAAGGGGAACGTAATCCAAAAGTAACTGAAAGTTATCAGATTACGTTACTGAGTTTGGGCAATCCAAAAGTTACATTACTGATTACAATTTTGGACAGGTAACTAGTAACTGTAACGGATTACATTTAGAAAGTAACCAACCCAATCCTGTTTATGGTTGAGTGTTTTGGGTAATATACTTTAAATCTAGTAATGATGGCATGATTGAATATCCTCATCATTCAGTATAGGGCTCTTTGAGGACCATCATTGACAGTCAGAATACAGAGGGCTGATTGCAGCACCTGCACAGATCATCCATGCTGTTTAGTATGCGAATGGGATAACAATATTGTGGTTTCTGATGGGGCTTGAAAAGTTATACTAGTAGTGGATCTGTGCAGATGCTGTACAAACCTTATGACCAGGTAAGTACAAGGTCAAAAATACTCCACAAAATATCTAAAGGAAAAATGAATCAAATAAAGAAATGGCAATGAATGACTCAAAATCACCCCACAATGCATGTCTACAGTTCAATCTATCTATTTTGATTGTTTACAATGCATACCCTTTCCTATTTTGATTGTTTACAATGCATACCCTTTCCATAGTCAACATATCAATGTGTTCACATCTGCAGACAATATATCCCTTATTCACCTTTGGTCCAGTTCTGGAGAATTCTAGGCTACAGTACAACAATCACATGACCAACAATCGCATCTACTACAAAACCATGGTGCTTGCCTATGGAGCTGTGAGGGGAACGGCACCTCCTTACCTTCAGGCTCTGATCAGACCTTACACCCAAACGAGAGCACTACGTTCATCCACCTCTGGCCTGCTAGCCCCCCTACCTCTACGGAAGCACAGTTCCCACTCAGCCCAGTCAAAGCTATTCGCTGCTCTGGCACCCCAATGGTGGAACAAGCTCCCCCACGACGCCAGGACAGCGGAGTCACTGACCACCTTCCGGAGACACTTGAAACCCTACCTCTTTAAGGAATACCTGGAATAGTATAACAGTAATCCTTCTACCCACCGACCTCTCGTAACCTCTAGAAGACTTAAACATGCTGGTTGTGTCTCATAATACTGATGTTTGATTCACAAATCCACCCACTCACTACTTGTCCTACTTTACCAAAGAATCAAGACAAAATGAGGACACAGATCTAATGAAGAGGCTGATTGAGTGAAATGAAGAGTAGTAGTAGAGATGATTGAACACAACAATTGGGACAAGCACACATCAAACTAGTAGCAAAGCACAAGCAAGCAAAGGAGGGAGGGAAAAAAAACACACACACACACACACACACACACACACACACACACACACACACACACACAGCCCAATTTACCATGTGTCTCTGTGGACTGGCTGAACCAGCCAAACTTCCCTTTCTTCTTCTCCGTTAGGTCAGCCAGTGTGACGCCTTGGTGTTATAAAGGCATGCAGTACATGCATTTAGACAGCAGAGGGAGCAGTGAATCAGTAGAGAACAAGAGAGAATAGACATCTACTACTATACAAGCAGTTAGGAAGAGACTAGAGAAGCACTGAACAAAACATTAGAGACGAAAGAGAGGAGGAGCCAAGAACTAGAAGGCATGAAAGAAGGAGAGAAGAAGAAGCAGTTGTAGAGCAGATGAGAGGAGAAGAAGGACATCTATTAGTAGAAGCTAGTGGGCCACACAGAGTTGAACTCTACGCAGAACAAAACATGTACATTAAGGAAAGAGAGTTAGTACATTATGCTATCTAGTCAACACACATAGACAACTGACATAGAGGGAGCTAATAGTCTAACACAGTGAAAGCTTACACACCACACAAATATGCACTAATAAAGCTTTCTATGGAGACCTAAAACTCACAGATAGATAGTTACAGTAGGTAGATATATCGATAGAGCTAGGGCTGCGGCAGCGCCAGGCAGAGCAGTGGGAGAGGCTTTTCCAGAAACAATCATCTCTTTTTAAACAGACTCACACAGACACCTCAAGGCCTCAAGGGATTCTACCACAGAGTCATGTTTGCCAAGAAAACCCATTCACAATCACATCATTACTTTCACTGGGTGTACGCCAAAGCATTTGCTACACTGCTACTGACCATGTATAAATACACTATCTGAAATAAAATGTTCTAATATAAACCTAACATTATTGAGGATTGAGTTTGTTTGGCTTATCCTGATCATGATAAGACACTGTAGTAGTATTTACTGCTTTTTGTTTACAATAGCAACCAGCTCAACTAATGTCCCATACACACTCAAAAAGAAACAGTACATCAGTACATAGTTACCATGTACAGCCCAATAGTGAGAGTGAGAGTATTGCTGATACAGTAGATGAGGCACTCAAACCTACAGGCATGCATTAGTCTAACTCTCTAGATCTCCCAGGCATTATAGTTAATGACGGGGGGAGACAAAGATAGAACAATAGCATCATTGACGTGCCTATTATGTCTGCTAAAAATGGCCCAGATCAGATGGATATTACAGCCAATCTCTCTCTCTCTCTCTCTCCTCTCTCTCTCTCTCTCTCTCTCTCTCTCTCTCTCTCTCTCTCTCTCTCTCTCTCTCTCTCTCTCTCTCTCTATTTCTCTCTCTCTCTCTCTCGCTCTCTCTCTCTCTGTACAATAAAACGCACATGCATGCACACACACACAGTCTGTCAGTCAGTCTGTCTGTCAGTCTGTCAGTCTACATACACTACATGACCAGAAGTATGTGGACACCTACTCGTCGAACATCTCATTCCAAAATCGTGGGCATTAATATGGAGTTGGTCCCCCCTTTGCTGCTATAACAGCCTCCACTCTTCTGCGAACGCTTTCCACTAGACGTTGGAAAACATTGCTGCGGGGACTTGCTTCCATTCAGCCACAAGAGCATTACTGAGGTCGGTCATTGATGTTGAGCGATTAGGCCTGGCTCGCAGTCGGCGTTCCAATTCATCCCAAAGGTGTTCGATGGGGTTGAGGTCAGGGCTCTGTACAAGCCAGTCAAGTTCTTCCACACCGATCTCGACAAACCATTTTTGTGTGGACCTCGCTTTGTGCACGGGGGCATTGTCATGCTGAAACAGGAAAGGGCCTTTCCCAAACTGTTGCCACAAAGTTGGAAGCACCGAATCGTCTAGAATGTCATTGTATGCTATAGCGTTAAGATTTCCCTTCACTGGAACTAAGAGGCCTATCCCGAACCATGAAAAACAGCCCCAGACCATTATTCCTTCTCCACCAAACCTTACAGTTGGTACTATGCATTGGGGCAGGAAGCGTTCACCAGGCAGCCGCCAAACCCAGATTCATCCGTCGGACTGCCAGATGGTGAAGAGTGATTAATCACTCCAGAGAACACGTTTCCTCTGCTCCAGAGTCCAATGGCGGCAAGCTTTACACCACTCCAGCATTGGCATTGTGCATGATGATCTTAGGCTTGTGTGCGGATGCTCGGCCATGGAAACCCATTTCATGAAGCTCCCGACGAACAGTTATTGTGCTGAAGTTGCTTCCAGAGGCAGTTTGGAACTCGATATTGAGTGTTGCAACTGAGGACAGACGATTTTTACGAGCTACGCGCTTCAGCACTCGGTGGTCCCATTCTGTGAGCTTGTGTGGCCTATCACTTCGCGGCTGAGCCGTTGTTGCTCCTAGATGTTTCCACAATAGCAGCACTTACAGTTGACCGGGGCAGCTCTACAGGGCAGAAATTTGACGAACTGACTTGTTGGAATGGTGGCATCCTATGACGGTGCCACGTTGAAAGTCACTGAGCTCTTCAGTAAGGCAATTCTACTGCCATTGTTTGTCTATGGAGATTGCATGGCTGTGTGCTAAATTGTATACACCTGTCAGCAACAGGTGTGGCTGAAATAGCCGAATCCACTCATTTGAAGCGATGTCCACATAATTCTGTATATATAGTGTATCTATCAACAGCATCTATGCCCAGCAAGTGTCTCATCCCAACAGGAAGCGCTATGTCGTCATGTATCATGCTGCATACGCTTACATAAAGAGGATTTGGATTACTGTCTCTTTCTTCCACATAAGTCATATCATCATCATTCCTGTGTGTGTGTGTGTGTGTGTGTGTGTGTGTGTGTGTGTGTGTGTGTGTGTGTGTGTGTGTGTGTGTGTGTGTGTGTGTGTGTGTGTGTGTGACGGCTGAAGCAGCAGACATGACATTCACTTTCATTTGATTTAACCAGAATGATAACAATTTCTCAGGAAGTCCTGGGATCAATAGCAATATGATCCAGTGACATAACATCACAGGAACAGGTGGTAGAACCAACAGGGAACAAACACCCATTATTGCATTCCAAAAACAGATTTATTTAAACCCTGTTTAAAACCTAGACCTCTGTCCCTGTCTCTGAACCACACAGCTGGCCAGGTGCTCCTAAAAGGGTAGAATAGATTTTCAGCATGACTTTCAGCATGCTTATAGAGAAGAGCACTCAACATGTACTGCACTGACACAATTGACTGACGATTGGTTGAACATATAAAAAGGTTGTGGGAGCTGTACTGTTAGATTTCAGTGCAGCCTTTGATATTATTGACCATAACCTGTTGTTGAAAAAACGTATGTGTTATAGCTTTTCAACCTCCGACAAATTGAGGATTCAGAGCAATCTATTTAATAGAACACATAGGTTATTCTTTAATGGAATTTCTCTGATGATAAACATGTAAAGTGTGGTGTACCGCAGGGCAGCTCTCTTGGCCCTCTACTCTTTTTTATTTTTACCAATGACCTGTCACTGGCATTAAACCAAGCCTGTGTGGCCATGTACGCTGATGATTCAACCCTATACGCATTAGCAACCACAGCTAGTGAAGTCACTGCAACCCTAAACAAAGAGTTGCAGTCAGTTTTTGAATGGGTGACCAGTAGTGCTGTCCCCGACTAACAAAAAATCTTGGTAAACCGAGAGTCGTCCTGTTCTTTCGACCAATCGATTGGTCAAAATGTTTCAACTTATTTTTACATATATAGACAGACTGAATAAAATCAACTACATATGCACTGAGTTTGCCTGATGTATTAAGCGCACTGTTTGATTAAATAATAAAGACACACAAATGGCTCAAGAAAGAGCCCGATGGTCCCGAAAAAAAATGACAGCGAGTGCCTGACTGGCGCACCTTGTCTCGCTCTCCTCCATACTGCAGCAAAAAGGCACCACAGCACAGCAAGTGTTTATTGCGCTGTCCGTGCTGAAGCTGCAACATAATTTCAATTTAGTTTATTACTTGTTTCTGACTGAAAGGTTATTTTACCGAAATCCCTAATTTGTTTATTCCCTCAACCCTTGCTCTCTTTTATGTGAAACATGTAAGCATCGCATGCATGTGACCAATAGGGCCTGACCTATAGCCTATCATAATCACATCAATAAATTGGTTATAACAAACCCCGAACACAATAACACATGTCAGCAAAATGGATGCAGAGGATGTGAAAAAGAAACTAAAAATGGTCTAATGTTTACTGGTTGTTCAGGGGGGAAAGGGGAAGTCAGATCTGCGGAAGATTTGCTACACTGCTACTGACCATGTATAAATATTCCAGTGGGTCAGAAGTTTACATACCCTCAATTATATTTGGTAGCATTGCCTTTCAATTGTTTAACTTGGGTCAAACGTTTCGGCTAGCCTTCCACAAGCTTCCCACAATAAGTTGGGTGAGTTTTGGCCCATTCCTCCTGACAGAGGTGGTGTAACTGAGTAAGGTTTGTAGGCCTCCTTGCTCGCACACGCTTTTTCAGCTCTGCCCACAAATGTTCTATAGGATTGAGGTCAGGGCTTTGTGATGGCCACTCCAATAACTTGACTTTGTTGTCCTTAAGCCATTTTGGCACAACATTGGAAGTATGCTTGGGGTCATTGTCCATTTGGAAGACCCATTTGCGACCAAGCTTTAACTTCCTGACTGATGTCTTGAGATGTTGCTTCAATATATCCACATAATTTTCCTTCCTCATGATGCCATCTATTTTGTGAAGTGCACCAGTCCCTCCTGCAGCAAAGCACCCCCACAGCATGATGCTGCCACCACCCTGCTTCACAGTTGGGATGGTGTTCTTCGGCTTGCAAGCCTTCCCCTTTTTCCTCCAAACATAACGATGGTCATTATGGCCAAACAGTTCCATTTTTGTTTCATCAGACCAGAGGACATTTCTCCAAAAAGTACGATCTTTGTCCCCATGTGCAGTTGCAAACCGTAGTCTGGCTTTTATATGGCGGTTTTGGAGCATTGGCTTCTTCCTTGCTGAGCGGCCTTTCAGGTTATGTCGATATAGAACTCGTTTTACTGTGGATATAGATACTTTTGTACCTGTTTCCTCCAGCATCTTCACAAGGTCCTTTGCTGTTGTTCTGGGATTGATTTGCATTTTTCGCACCAAAGTACGTTCATCTCTAGGAGACAGAACGCGTCTCCTTCCTGAGTGGTATGATGGCTGCGTGGTCCCATGGTGTTTATACTTGCATACTATTGTTTGTACAGATGAACGTGGTACCTTCAGGCGTTTGGAAATTGCTCCCAAGGATGAACCAGACTTGTGGAGGTCTACAATTTTTTTTCTGAGGTCTTGGCTGATTTCTTTTGATTTTCCCATGATGTCAAGCAAAGAGGCACTGAGTTCGAAGGTAGGCCTTGAAATACATCCACAGGTACACCTCCAATTGACTCAAATTATGTCAATTAGCCTATCAGAAGCTTCTAAAGCCATGACATCATTTTCTGGAATTTTCCAAGGTGTTTAAAGGCACAGTCAACTTAGTGTAGGTAAACTTCTGACCCACTGGAATTGTGATACAGTGAATTATAAGCGAAATAATCTGTCTGTAAACAATTGTTGGAAAAATTACTTGTGTTATGCACAAAGTAGATGTCCTAACCGACTTGCCAAAACTATGGTTTGTTAACAAGAAATTTGTGAAGTGGTTGAAAAACAAGTTTTAATGACTCCAACCTAAGTGTATGTAAATTTCCGACTTCAACTGTACAGTATATATGGATGATTTATAAAGCCAGGCACATTTAACAGTTAGGCTATTGATTATAGACCTAATTAAGTTGGGGTTTCCTCTCTCCTCAATTTTCTTAGACAATTAGGCTAAGGCAAGGGCAGTTTCCTGGTCTCTGCTACTGCTGCCTCCGCCGCATTGTTCGCCAATCCCAATATGCTGGTTAACTTTGCTATTATGCACATAGCAACATAGGGAAAGGCGGCAGTTCTCTGTTTGGCTGTTGCCAGTTCATTTTGTTCATCAAGCCTACCTGCGTTTTTCCCCTTGCTCCTGTCTTTTCTAAAGTTCCTGTTTTCTAGTTTTCCTGGATTTGACCATTCTGCCTGCCCTGACCCTGAGCCTGCTTGCCGTTCTGTACCTTTTGGACTCTGATCTGGATTACTGACCTCTGCCTGCCCTTGACCTGTCGTTTTGCCTGCCCCCTGTTCTAGTAATAAACTTTTGTTACTTCGACACTGTCTGCATCTGGGTCTTCCCTAAAACGTTATAAAAATAATCTAAGATGTATTAGTGTTGCACCATTATTCTTACATAATATAGCCATATACAATTTCAGTATCACGTCTTAGAGTGATGGACTGTGCCATTCCTGTGGCCTCCGCAATGGATTAGTCCACTGAGACAGGTGTGAATCAGACAGGTATCTTGTGCACCATGAACAAAAACAAAAAAAACGACTTCACGACTAAAGAAATCTCGGTCGACCAACAGCCTATCAACCAAACAATCGACCAGTTGACTAAATGGGGTAAGCCCTAGTGGCCAGTAATAAACTGGTCCCTGAACATCTCTAAAACTAAATAATTCCCTAAGTTTTAGAGCTCAGCTGAATCTGGTAATGAATGGTGTGGCTGTTGAGCAAGTTGAAGAGACTAAATTACTTGGTTTGACCTTAGATTGTAAACTGTCATGGTCAAAACATATAGATTCAATGGTTGTTAAGATGGGGAGAGGTCTGTCCGTGATAAAGAGATGCTCTGCTTTTTTGACACCACACTCCACAAAGCAAGTCCTGCAGGCTCTAGTTTTATCTTATCTTGATTATTGTCCAGTCATATGGTCAAGTGCTGCAAAGAAGGACCTAGTTAAGCTGCAGCTGGCCCAGAACAGAGAGGCACATTTTGTTCTTCATTGTAATCAGAGGCTAATATCAATACTATGCATGCCAGTCTCTCTTGGCTAAGAGTTGAGAAAAGACTTACTGCATCACTTGTTGTTTTTACAAGAAACATTAATGTGTTGGAAATTCCAAATTGTTTGCATAGTCAACTTACACACAGCACTGACACATACACTTATCCCACCAGACATGCCACCAGGGGTCTTTTCACAGTCCCCAGGTCCAGAACAAATTCAAGGAAACATACAGTATTATACAGAGCCATGATTGCATGGAACTCCCTTCCATCTCATATAGCGCAAGTGAACAGAAAACCTGGTTTAAAAAAACTAATAAAGCAACACCTCACGGCACAACGCCTCTCCCTCATTTGACCTACTTTTTGTGTGTATGTACTGACATGTATGTGTAAGTGATAGACGCACACACACACACTACATGTTAATGTTTTAAATGTATGTAAATTGTAAAGTATTTTGTTTGCAATGTCTTTTTCGTTATGTGTCAGACCCCAGTAAGACTAGCTGTCGCCATTGGAGTCGGCTAATGGGGATCCTAATAAAATCAAAATCTAAGTAGAACAGAGGGGAATGTGATGTGAAGGGGGTGGTGAGGTAGGAGGACTCACGGTTGCGTTTGCCCCCCTCCTCATCCCCCTCCTCGTCATTCTCAGGGTCGATGTCCTCAGCCTGAGTGATCCAGTCCAGGTAGCCCTTCAGATCCTCCTCCAGCTGCTGCTTCTCTCTCAGCTTCTGGAAGTCTCCACGAGCCTTGGCCTTCTCTCTCTCCTTGGAAAACTCTCTGTGGATGGACACACACAGACACACACACACACACACACACACACACACACACACACACACACACAAAGACAAAAACTCAGAAACCTGTTCCCTCTATGTGTGTATTTCTGTGTGTGCACTCTCATGCGTTTGTACGTGCATATGTATATAGTACATTGATGAGTCTAATGTCTTACCCGCTTAACACTCCCAGAACCAGGTTGAGAACAAAGAAGGAGCCGAAGATGACCAGACTGACGAAGTAGACCCAGGGCAGCTCAGAACCCATGGCATCATTCATCTGAAACAACAACAACAGTCACAGTCACAGTTAGCTTTAGAGGACAATCCAGAAGTTCCTGGTAAAACTATATCAACCTGACCTATTTATTTTGATCATTTAGCGCCGTATTAGAAGTACAGATTACAGTCTGACATAAAATCCCTGAAACTATTCTACCGGTAAGTACAATTTATCCCTGATGTTATTTCCTCTTTTCAGTGACGCTCTCTCTTTAAGACTAGTGTGGGTGCAGGCTTTTGTTTCAGCCAAAACAGTAACACAGCTCATTTGTTGATGAAGACTATGAATCAGGTTGTGTTACAGTTGGCTGGAGCAAAATCCTGCACCCACACCGCAGAAAAGGGGGTGGAGTATGTTTGTGTATGTCTGACAGAGAGGTCTTCACCGATCCACCTGTACCCGAATACCCGAGACCCGTTCCAGGACCAGAGCGGATCCAGAATTCTAAATACTATTGGATCTGATATGATTGTAACAGGTCTCGAGCATGTGTCATTTTAATTGACTTGTTCGGATGGACCCATACAGATCCAAACGTGACTGCTGCAGTAGAGAGAAGAGAGAGAGAGAGAGAGAGAGAGAGAGAGAGAGATGAGAGAATGAGGAGAGAGAAGAGATAGAGAGTAGGACAGAGTAGAGAATAGCAGTATAGATCTAGACTATCGATCTCAGAAGCGAGCTCGCTCTCTCTTCCGCTCTTCGCTCTCTTCGCTCTCTCTGATCTATCTCTCCTCTCTCTCTCTCTCTCCCCTCTCTCTCTCCCTCCGCCTCCCTCTCTCTCTTCCGACTGCTCCCTGCTACAACGACCAAGAACAGGTAGGCTGCTACTTTATATTCTGAATGGAGTTGTTGTTGGTTTAAGTGTGTAGGATGAGCGCATGCAGCCTCAATTAGCCTAGCTACTTAGCTAGCTAGCTAGCTTAACTAGCTTCTCCCGGTTTGATACAGTCAAGACAGATACTACGTAATCATATTGAATGATAAATAACCTAGATATGGCAGCTATTAGTGTACTATAGCACAAGCCGGCTTGGTTGGTTGCTGTCTCTCATCTCTCCCTCCCTCCTCCCTGTTCCCCGTGTCACTCACTCACACTCACAGTAGCCTACACACACCACGGCCCCTGCTAGAGCGTCACCTCTCTCTACCTCCTCTCCCTCGCACTTTATCAACTCCGGTTAATAAAGTAGCTTAAAAATTGGACTTTTCTGCTGCTTCCCTCACTCGGATTTGACCGTGTCTGGATCCAACTAGGTCTATACAGGTCTAGTTGTCCTCGGGTCCGTTCGGAACGGGTTTCTATATTTATAAAAATGTATTTATGCATATCGGGTCTGGATGGGAAAGCCCCAGGTTCATTTTGGAAAGGGTCCAACTTTTTGGACCCGTGAAGACCTCTAGTCTGACATTTTATAGAAGTTCTATAGGTTGGATTTGAGTGGAGCTCATCCAGTAATAGCAATGAAGCTAAGCTAACCCTGTTGAAACCTCTGTGTTAATGTGAGTAGAGATGGCTAACTAGTTGCTAGCTGGGTGTCGTTCATAAAGCAGCAGCCTCACCCAGTAGAGAACATCAGTCCAGCCCTCCATGGTGATACACTGGAAAACAGTGAGCATGGCAAACAGGAAGTTGTCAAAGTTGGTGATGCCACCGTTGGGGCCATGCCATCCCTCTCTACATACAGTCCCATTAATCATGCACTGGCGCCCATGGCCTGACATTGCACACGGAACAGGCTCCTCCTCTGCCAGAATGCCTATAAGGCATATAGAGAGAGAGGGGGAGGGAAAGGAGAGATATGGGAGAAAGAGGGAAGGAGAGTAGTTAGAAGTTACTAAATATGCACAACAATGATGCACAGCATGGAATGCCTTACAACAGCTTAGTAAACAATGATGACATCAGAGTGCAACGAGAATATCAAATACATCCAGTGATGTGAAAAGACACTCGGACGCACAGAAAAGTGTGGCCCTTATAAATCACACCATGTTGTGCAGTTTTGCTTACAGATACACATTCTATATGTATAATAATAATAATAATAATAATAATAATAATAATATGCCATTTAGCAGACGCTTTTATCCAAAGCGACTTACAGTCATGTGCGCATAAATTTTTACGTATGGGTGGTCCCCGGGATCGAACCCACTACCCTGGCGTTACAAGCGCCATGCTCTACCAATTGAGCTACAGAGGACCACATGTATAGTGTATAGTATAGTGTTTACACATAATTCTTATAGCACACAAGCTCATCAGAGGCTCTCTCACACACACACAATCACACACATTTAAGTCATTTAGCAGACGCTCTTATCCAGAGCGAATTACAGTTAGTGCATACATTATTTATTTATTTTCATACTGGCCCCCCGTGGGAATCGAACCCACAAACCTGGCGTTGCAAACACCATGCTCTACCAACTGAGCTACATCCCTGCTGGCCATTCCCTCCCCTACCCTGGACGACGCTGGGCCAATTGTGCGCCGCCCCATGGGTCTCCCGGTCGCGGCCGGCTACGACAGAGCCTGGATTCGAACCAGGATCTCTAGTGGAACAGCTAGCACTGCGATGCAGTGCCTTAGACCACTGCGCCATTCGCCATTCACCACTGTCCCTAACTCCCTGCTATGTTGCATGTAAATTACATTCATTATCTCACATACATTCCATTCATAAATTCACCCCCTGCAGTTCCACTTAATCAGCTCAACTGACATGGCTTACATCTCCCTTCATCCATAATCTCTTCCTATAGCATGATGATGAGAAGTGGTCTGAGCCCCAGGTAAGTGCCTTTCTCAAGGGCAAACATCAGCATAGAGCCCCGGATTATAGCTAGCAGAGATCTGGTTCTACTCTGCCCTGAACTGCCCTGCATGGCTGCTTCTCAACTACCACAGGGATGTAAACAAACAAGTAAACAAAGAGAGAGGGCCATACATACACACGTCATACCGTCCATAAGCTCCCCATTATAAGACTAGCTTATTGTAGCTGAGTAATGAAACAATGTCATCTAGCTTTCATATACAGTACATGTTTCATACATATCCCTATGATTGACTGTAAGTGATATTCATTGTATATTCATTCATATTCAGGGACTGAGTACTAAAATAAGGGTAATGATTGTCAGCCGATTAAATATTGAATCAAAGTTGATTCCAACCAGTGACTGACTGAAGTCTTAGGGTTTGTACAGACAGATAATTCATATCAGTCAAAAAAGGACTAAGCCTAGTGTTTTTCTACAGTATGGGGGTCTCATACGTTGATGTACCACAGAGACAGAAAACAATGGGTTATCAGTAATACTGCGTTTAGATGGCATGAGGTAGACGGCAAACCGGATGTCATTGTTTTCAATGAGAGAACGACGGTAAATGCCGCTGAGGCTAGCGGTGAATGCCTACAGCCGCCACGGTAGATGGGACTTGTCGCCAGAGTTAAAATATTTTAACTTTTGCCGTCTGCCATAGCATTGTTTTCTACCGGATGTTGATTTGCATTGATTGTTTATTGAAATCCCCATAGCATCGCATACCATCGTGCAGGCTTGCTTTTTCTGTCACTGTCTTTCTTGCTTTCTTGTCCCGCTATTCTGACTGGTATGACGTTTTTTGCGTCCCTCGTCTAAATGCAGCATAACTTTTGTATAGCTGACATGCATCAAAAGCTGGAAAGACTAACATTTGACAGACTGAGGAGGACTGAGATGGAGAGATTACGGACGCAGGTTCTTACCGGTGCCCACCAGGTAGCAGGTAGTGTGCATCTTGCCGATGAAGAGTTCCAGGCCGATGATGGCATAGATGATGATGACGAAGAGGACGAGCAGAGCGATGTGGAGCAGAGGAACCATGGCTTTAATGATGGAGTTCAACACTACCTGTAAACCTGACAGAGACAGAGAGAGAGGGATCAGATACAGACAGACACACAAACACGCACACAGGCACACAGTATAATGCTATGAGGACATAGATAACCTAATTCTAAACTATTTATTGATGTTTATGCCTAAGGATTTCAGACTGTACACGGGTATCAATGAAAACGTCATATTGAACTAAAGACATATGAAGATTTTCATTCCAAAATACTATATATTCATTTTCAGAAATGTAGGTAAATTAGCTTTTATTGTTTACCGAAATTATGAAAGAGATTGGTGTGTTTTTTCACTATCTAATTATGGCATGGGGTTATTGTCATAGAGACAAATAATCATGTTTTTTCCTAAATGCTATATATCCACCTCACTCTCAGTGAAATAGTAGTACTGCTAGGTTTTACACAGTCAAATGTAACAAATAACTACATTTTAATAAAGCAATGTACAAATAATACATTTGTGACATCAATATATACAGTACCAGTCAAAAGTTTGGACACACCTACTCATTCAAGGATTTTTCTATATTTTTACAATTTTTTACATGTAGAATAATAGTGAAGACATCAAAACCATGAAATAACACATATGGAATCATGTAGTAACCAAAAAAGTGTTAAGCAAATCAAAATATATTTTATGTTTGAGATTCTTCAAATAGCCACCCTTGATGACAGCTTTGCACACTCTTGTCATTCTCTCAACCAGCTTCACCTGGAATGCTTTCCCAACAGTCTTGAAGGAGTTCCCACATATGCTGAGCACTTGTTGGCTGCTTTTCCTTCACTCTGCCGTCCGACTCATCCCAAACCATCTCAATTGGGTTGAGGTCGGGGGATTGTGGAGGCCAGGTCATCTGATGCAGCACTCCATCACTCTCCTTCTTGGTCAAATAGCCCTTACACAGCCTGGAGGTGTGTTTTGGGTCATTGTCCTGTTGAAAAACAAATGATAGTCCCACTAAGTGCAAACCAGATGGGATGGCGCATCGCTGCAGAATGCTGTGGTAGCCATGCTGGTTAAGTGTGCCTTGAGTTCTAAATAAATCACAGACAGTGTCACCAGCAAAGCACCCCCACACCATAACAGCTCCTCCTCCATGCTTAACGGTGGGAACTTCACATGCGGAGATCATTCGTTCACCCACACCGCATCTCACAAAGACACGGCGGTTGGAACCAAAGGACAAATTTCCGCTGGTATTGGTGTCCTTTAGTAGTGCTTTCTTTGCAGCAATTTGACCATGAAGGCCTGATTCACACAGTCCCCTCTGAACAGTTGATGTTGAGATGTGTCTGTGACTTAATTTATTTGGGCTGCAATTTCTGAGGCTGGTATCTCTAATGAACATATCCTCTGCAGCAGAGGTAACTCTGGGTCTTCCATTCCTGTGGTGGTCCTCATGAGAGCCAGTTTCATCATAGCGCTTGATGGTTTTTGCAACTGCACTTGAAGAAACTTTCAAAGTTCTTGAAATGTTCCGTATTGACTGACCTTCATGTCTTAAAGGAATGATGGACTGTCATTTCTCTTTGCTTATTTGAGCTGTTCTTGCCATAATATGGACTTGGTCTTTTACCAAATAGGGCTATCTTCTGTATACCCCCCTACCTTGTCACAACACAACTGATTGGCTCAAACGCATTAAGAAGGAAAGAAATTCCACAAATTAACTTTTAACAAGGCACACCTGTTAATTGAAATGCATTCCAGGTGACTGCTGGTTGAGAGAATGCCAAGAGTGTGCAAAGCTGTCATCAAGGTTGGCTATTTGAAGAATCTCAAATAGAAAATATATTTTGATTTGTTTAACACTTCTTTGGTTACTACATGATTCCATATGTGTTATTTCATAGTTTTGATGTCTTCACTATTATTCTACAATGTAAAAAATAGTAAAAAATAAAGAAAAACCCTTGAATGAGTAGGTGTGTCCAAACTTTTGACTGGTAGTGTATGTATTTTATTTAACAAATTATAATTCAATACAGTAATATGAGATCTGTATGTAAAACATTTACATTTGACATTTTAGTAATTTAGCAGATGCTCTTATGCAGAGCAATTTACAGTAAGTGTATTCATCTTAAGATAGCTAGGTGAGGCAACCACATATCACAGTCAAATATTCAAATTTAGCTAAACAATGGATATATAGCATTTTGCCAAAAAACATATTTTCATACACATCTAAAATCTATGAATTACATATCTGAGAACAGTAATATTTTACACACACATGAAGGTACCCATAAGCAATATTTTCTGATGAAAAAACACAAATGTGAAAAATGGGTGGATATAGCGTTTTGGAAATAAACTCTTCATATGGTATAAACATGGTAACATATCTCTATAGTGAAGACATGTTCTGGCGCCATGTCGACTCACTGGGTACTCCTGAGACAAGACGGAGGGGGCGGAGCACACGGAACGCTCGGAGGGCCTTGACGTCAAAGCCTCCTGGTTTACCCCCCTGACCCCCCGCATCGCCCTCTTTGGTTATCACCTCCAGAACTACACTGAATAACCTGGGGGGAGGAGAGAGGGGGAGGGGGAAGAGAGAGAAAGAGAAAGGGAGCGAGAGAGACAGAGAAATAAAGAGAGAGAGATCGAGAGAAAGATAGATAGAGAGATAGAGAGATAGAGATAAAGAGAGAGATCAATGACATCATTGTAACATACATCCCTGAGTCATAAGGCTTTCTGAGTATAAGGTGACAGAGCTTTGATTTATGGTCTTTAATGGTCTTTTCTGGTGTGTGTGTGTGTGTGTGTGTGTGTGTGTGTGTGTGTGTATATGTCTGTCACAGTGATAGTAATCCAATAAATAAATAAATAAATAATAAAATGTTTTATTATCACATACATCGAACAGGTGCAGTGAAATGTGTTGTTTAATCCGCCTTTATCTCTCTGTGTTTACATTCAGTGTTTCACACCTCGTCCTCAGTTTACACTGGAGCCCCACAGGGGCAGGAGATAAACGTCACCCTGACCACCACAAAAGGTCTCTCTCTAAATACAAGTGTGTGTGTGTGTGTATGTGTGTGTATGTGTGTGTGTGTTTCCCTTGATTAACACACTGCACTGTATGAGTGTCTGTCTGTGTGTCAACAAACCCCTCAATATAATAATATATTTCTGTCAATGTTGAGTGTATCAGAATATAATTAAAATGACATCAACTACCATTACAGATAGCCACCAAAACGAGAGGAAAGAGTGAGAAGAATGCCCTTCAAGGAAGGCTCAGCTCTTCCAGATGTGACATGGACACAGCATTATGGGTAAGTGTTTTCATCCCCTTTCCTTTTTTTATCAGAAGCGGGTGTGTGACTTCCTCCTGACCCTAACCCAAATCCTAAAACCATGTGACAGACGACAGGATCTCTATCGGGTAATTCACAGAGGTACTACTGTGCGTGTGTGTGCGTGTGTGTGTGTGTGTGTGTGTGTGTGTGTGTGTGTGTGTGTGTGTGCGTGTGTGTGCGCGTGTGTGTGCCAGAGCCTCTTGTTGTTACTGGATGTGGTGAAGAGTCTTAAGCCGATAATCCTTCTTGATCAAATAGAGACTGATACACAGGGAGGGTGAATTGTTGCATGTGTGTTGTCCCTCTGAATATGTTGCTGTGTTTGTGTGTTCTACAGCGTTTTTCATTACATAACGTCTTACAACATACTTGTGTTTCTGTTAACCTATCTGTGACCTTTTTGCCATCCTTACAGTAGATTTTGTTCTTGAGGGCACATTCAGTGCTCCAGACTGTGCTTTAATTATGTGCCTTGGGCATCAGCAGGATCTGACATAGTCGTGTGTGTACATGCATGCATGCATGCGTGTGTGTGTGTGTGTGTGAGTACATGCATGTGTGTATGACTCTGTCTAGGAGGAACGTGGTACTTACCCTACTATGACAATGACAAAATCCAGCATATTCCAGCCGTTCCTCACGTAGGAGTTCTGGTGCATGACTAAACCATACGCTATGATCTTCAGAAAGGTCTCTATAGTAAAGATGATCAGGAAGGCATATTCTACTGTTTCCTGTGGGGAGGGAGGGAAAGAGAGGGTGAGAAAGAAAGAAAGAAAGAAAGAAAGAAAGAAAGAAAGAAAGAAAGAAAGAAAGAAAGAAAGAAAGAAAGAAAGAAAGAAAGAAAGAAAGAAAGAAAGAGGGCCATTAGACATCACAATGTGAATAATAACAGTGTTTCCCCTAGGATTGTTTTTCAGCAGCGGTGGCAGAATTAGCGAAAGTGGGGGTGGGGAGCAGCGGATGGGGTCTTCCTGGGGCATACACCTATACATCTACATTATAATAAAAAAATATATACTACCGTTCAAAGTTTTGGGGTCACACATTTCCTGGTTTTCGAAAGAAAAGCAATTTTTTTGTCCATTAAAATAACATAAAATTGATCAGAAATACAGTGTAGACATTGTTAATGTTGTAAATGGCTATTGTAGCTGGAAAGCCAAATCTCAGACTGCCCATCTTAATATTTTCTTTTTATTGGCCAGTCTGAGATATGGCTTTTTCTTTGCAACTCTGCCTAGAAGGTCAGCATCCCAGAGTCGCCTCTTCACTCTTGACGTTGAGACTGGTGTTTTGCGGTTACTATTTAATGAAGCTGCCAGTTGAGAACCTGTGAGGCGCCTGTTTCTCAAACTAGACACTCTAATGTATTTGTCTTCTTGCTCAGTTGTGCACCGGGGCCTCCCACTCCTCTTTCTATTCTGGTTAGAGACAGTTTGCGCTGTTCTGTGAAGGGAGTAGTACACAGCATTGTACGAGATCTTCAGTTTCTTGGCAATTTCTCGCATGGAATAGCCTTAATGTCTCAGAACAAGAATAGACTGGCGAGTTTCAGAAGAAAGTTATTTGTTTCTGGCCATTTTGTGCCTGTAATCGAACCCACAATTGCTGATGCTCCAGATACTCAACTAGTCTCAAGAAGGCCAGTTTTATTGCTTCTTTAATCAGCACAACAGTTTTCAGCTGTGCTAACATAATTGCAAAAGGGTTTTCTAATGATCAATTAGCTTTTTAAAATGATAAACTTGAATTAGCAAACACAACGTGCCATTGGAACACAGGACTGATGGTTGCTGATAATGGGCCTCTGTATGCCTATGTAGATATTCCATTACAAATCAGCTGTTTCCAGCTACAATAGCCATTTACAACATTAACAATGTCTACACTCTATTTCTGGTCAATTTGATGTTATTTTAATGGCTAAAAAAATTGCTTTTCTTTCGAAAAAAATGACATTTCTAAGTGACCCCAAACGTTTGAACGGTAGTGTATATTTGCAATGGCGGCCACAATATACAACATAGGGGAAACACTGAATAAATAAAAACAACAAACACTCTTTAAAAGGAAGAAGTCTGATTGGTTCATTGTGCAGTAAGTAATGGTTGAGCCAACAGGTTTAAACTGTACAGGGGAAGAGAGAGCGAGAGAGAGAGAGAGAGAGAGAGAGAGAGAGAGAGAGAGAGAGAGAGCGAGAGAGAGAGAGAGAGAGAGAGAGAGAGAGCGAGAGAACAGGTTGTTAATCCAGTTAGACAGATAAAAGGTCTGTGAAAACAACATTCATGTAATTTATCCGATGATCGATGATGATGGTGCAGAGCCAACCAGACAGATGATTGGCGGGTGACAGTACGTGAGGTCTGGATTAGTGCTGCGGTAACAATATACTCAACAAAGCAGGATGGCTTGCACAAGACACCGGACAGAAATGACACTAAACCCTGATTCTGTGACTTCTCAACACTATCGGCATAGCAACGCATTTCTCTACCACCAACTCACAACTCAGTGAAATCATCTAAGAGCACAGTCAACATCAGGAAAATGTCATCTCCCGTCCGTTGCGTAATCCAAATGTTACCAGGGTAACAGCATGAGTTTTACACTTACACTGTAATACTGGTCAGAGAGCATATCTCTTTATCTGGTAGAGATTTCCACATCATTCAAACCCTATGCTCTATAATTCAACAGCAGGTTTTAAAGAGACATAAAGCCAGCCAGGCAGCCTCTGCCTCTGCTTCTCTGCCTCAATGTTGATTCAGTACAGTACAGGACGTAAAGCTACTGACATTCACAGAGCAATAAAAGGCAGGCAGCCAGACAGCAGACATTTTCACACAGGGATTAGCTAATGCAGAGTAATAAAGAGATAAAACAACTTCACCTGTGAGGATGATAGGATGACAACAATGTAGGGAAATCATGTATTCATACAACTGTCTAATGAATGGATGAAGGGATAAAGGAAGCTGCTTTATAAGAGGAATGACAAAAGAGGTGGAGAAAATGAGAGAATACACGAACAGCAACATAAGTGTTATCCTCCTCCCCAAGAGAGAGCTGGCTGGTGGGCGAGATTACATAAGTGTGGAAGAGGTGAGAAACCTAAGCAGTGCTTAGAAATAAACCTCAGCCACCACACATCCAGTACATAGGTATACAACAGACACACACAGTAGTCTCCAGTAGTCTTTGAAGTGGGCAGCTGATGCATCTCCAAGTGAAGACCTTGTGGGGTCAGAGACTGAGTCAGCACTAGCTGCTTCACACTCATAAGAGCTCTGTCATTGTGCATTCATTTCAATTGTAAACATCTCTCATCACACAACCATTGATTTAATATATACGTTTATTGTGAAATGTAATGAGAACATTGGTTTAATCACCAAAACACGACATAATGATATATTTTAAATTTAGTTGTTTTAACTACCAGTTAATCGAATAGCAAACAATGCAAGATACGTGTTTCAAATTGCCCTTAAAAGTGCTGAAAGTAATATGCTACACTACTGTAAATTACAGTAGATTACAGTTTTCACATTAGGCAATGCACTTACATTACCCAACAAAATTGACAGAAAATCTATAATTTCCATAATATCTATCCAATGTGTAATCAAAGACATCCTCTACAATTATCCATGCAAAAAAAACATTTTCTTTTTCAGATATAATTGCAACATAGGTGTACTGTCTGTAATCAAATGTAACAAATTAAATTAATGAAAATAAAACATATTTTCGCACGCATTAATTTGCATCATGCCTATCTTGAGCCATAAATTCTCATCCACATCCCAGTGAATGTCCTCATTGTTCATGCACCGCAGGAAAAACCTTTTGGCATGACGAATCCAAGCTTGGCATCGGTCTGCATTGATGTCGTCACATGCCTCATCCATGGACAAAAGGAGGGTGGAACGCTCATGGGGATGGCGATCGTACACCTTCCACCTCCATGCTGAAAAAAAATCCTCAATAGGGTTGAGGAAAGGAGAGTATGAGGGCAGGTATAGGGTCACAAATCGGGGATGGGACCGAAACCATGCCTGAACCACCTCTGCATGGTGGAACCTGACATTGTCCCACACAATGACATTGGTGACCCCTTCACCTTGATAGGCCTGCTCAATTTAATTGAGAAACACAATAAGGTGTGCAGTGTTGTAGGATCCAAGTAATGGCCTACATCCATCCACACCATCTTCAGAGATAGCTGCGGACATGGAGAAGCCCATGCCCACCTCTTTGACCTCTTTGATGGGGCCCATGCCCACCTCTCTGAAGGGCCCCTTGCCCACGAGCTCTTTGATTTCTTCCTCTTCCTTGCTGTCTATCCTGCTCCATGTTGAAAGAAATTGCAAGCGTTCACACACACCCTTTTATATGGTGACAAATTGTGGTTACCACTATGTGAAATCAATTAGCAATAACGAGTAGTCATTATGTATTGTTATCATGTATCATACATTACATTTAGATGTTTATACTTTACAAACACACATTTTATTTCTGTAGTTCTCATAATCCATATACAGTATAGTAGACAAACCAGTTTCAAATCTATAGGTTTACCAAACGGTTTAGTGATTAACCATTAAGCGCAGTTGGATTAAGTGATGGTCAAATGTATTTAAACAAATGAGAAGAGAATCATATGAAAAGTATTGTGAGCATTGCATTGTGAAAGGCAATTACTTTATATGAAAGGTATTTCTAGATAAAACACTGATTAGGTTTGGTGAAAAAGTTACTGTGTGATTTTGTGTGTTGTACTTAGTAAATTGAAAACTTGCTTAAAGTTGTGAAAAAACAAACTTTTTGTTATCTGTTTTGAGTTTTGTACTAAGAGTTGTGAAATTGTACCACATACTTGTGAAAATAGTACCAGAGCAATTTCAAAAATCTGTAACTGCTTGAATGTGTGTCCCCTCCATCACCCCTCTCTCCTATGTTTATTTTGGTCTGAAATGGCCCCTTTTGTGCTCTGTCAACAGCTGACAAAGCAGACCTGCCGACTACCTCTTTAATAATCACGTCTGAATGAAGGCACTTAGCAGAGCTCTGACGCTGTGGCAACCACGTAGGCCAAATCCACCCTGCTGCTGCCTTTGTGGCCTTAAGTCACTGTGTGTGTGTGTGTGTGTTTGTGTGAGGTTGCCTCCCTCCTACAACCACCTGCTTTGTAACAGAACAGACATGGAAGGGAAGGGGCCTAAAGAGAAGATATTACAGGTGACAAAAGAGACAGAAGGTGTAATCAGGAGAGGGAGGAGGGGAGCAGCATCTCTCATTAGACAGCCGACAGATGGAACATCAGTTAATAGTACTGCTGAGATTTATGGAACATCAGTTAATAGTACCACTGAGATTTATGGAACATCAGTTAATAGTACCGCTGAGATTTATGGAACATCAGTTAATAGTACCACTGAGATTTATGGAACATCAGTTAATAGTATCGCTGAGATTTATGGAACATCAGTTAATAGTACCGCTGAAATCAATGAAACATCAGTTAATAGTACCGCTGAGATTTATGGAACATTAGTTAATTGTACCGCTGAGATTTGTGGCACATCAGTTAACAGTACCGGTGAAATCTATGAAACATCAGTTAATAGTACCGCTGAGATTTATGGAACATCAGTTAATAGTACCGCTGAAATTTAGTGTGAGAACAGATCCAGTGTGAGAACAGATCCAGTGTGAGAACAGCTCCAGTGTGAGAACAGATCCAGTGTGAGAACAGCTCCAGTGTGAGAACAGCTCCAGTGTGAGAATAGATCCAGTGTGAGAACAGATCCATTGTGAGAACAGATCCAGTGTGAGAACAGATCCAGTGTGAGAACAGCTCCATTGTGAGAACAGCTCCAGTGTGAGAACAGCTCCAGTGTGAGAATAGATCCAGTGTGAGAACAGATCCAGTGTGAGAACAGCTCCAGTGTGAGAACAGCTCCAGTGTGAGAACAGCTCCAGTGTGAGAACAGATCCAGTGTGAGAACAGCTCCAGTGTGAGAACAGCTCCAGTGTGAGAACAGCTCCAGTGTGAGAATAGATCCAGTGTGAGAACAGATCCAGTGTGAGAACAGCTCCAGTGTGAGAACAGATCCAGTATGAGAACAGCTCCATTGTGAGAACAGCTCCAGTGTGAGAACAGCTCCAGTGTGAGAACAGATCCAGTGTGAGAACAGCTCCAGTGTGAGAACAGCTCCAGTGTGAGAACAGCTCCAGTGTGAGAATAGATCCAGTGTGAGAACAGATCCAGTGTGAGAACAGCTCCAGTGTGAGAACAGATCCAGTATGAGAACAGCTCCAGTATGAGAACAGCTCCAGTGTGAGAACAGCTCCAGTGTGAGAGAGCCAAGTGATGATGAGGGGGTGCCAAGAGGTTGAACTGTTCATCTGTTGGTAGTGGATGAGGTGTTTCCCCTAATGTAAAGCACTTTAAGCACTTGGAAAGGTGCTAGCTACATACTGTAAATCCAATCCATCATTGGGTAGAGTGGAATTGTATCCTACAATCCTTCAGAAACAGGTCCCTAGTAGCCAATGTGACTGGCCAAATCACAGGATGAGAGTGAGGCATGACCCAAACCACTGCCAAATGATTGCTTCATTGACTTTGGATTACTAGACCATAAGATTAAATCCCCACATTTGGGTCCAACCCTAAACTGAAGTTTTTGGATCCAGTCCACTAATCAACATCTCTGTGGTTCTTTTGAATAGTCTGAGACCGGCCGTCATCTGTCTTAATACATGGTAGGCTACGTTCTCCTCAGTAAGGAATATACTACACTCACTGAGGGTTGGTATTATGGGTTCGCATGAGGAAGACTCTATATGCACTTATAATTCAGATTTGTCTCACAATGTAAACATTATTTTATTGAGTACATACAGTTGAAGTCGGAAGTTTACATACACTTAGGTTGGAGTCATTAAAACTCGTTTTTCAACCACTGTTCATGACACAAGTAATTTTTCCAACAATTGTTTACAGACAGATTATTTCACTTATAATTCACTGAATCAAAATTCCAGTGGGTCAGAAGTTTACATACACTAAGTTCACTGTGCCTTTAAACAGCTTGAAAAATTCCAGAAAATGATGTCATGGCTTTAGAAGCTTCTGATAGGCTAATTGACATAATTTGAGTCAATTGGAGGTGTACCTGTGGATGTATTTCAAGGCCTACCTTCAAACTCAGTGCCTCTTTGCTTGACATCATGGGAAAATCAAAAGAAATCAGCCAAGACCTCAGAAAAAACTTTGTAGACCTCCACAAGTCTGGTTCATCCTTGGAAGCAATTTCCAAATGCCTGAAGGTACCACGTTCATCTGTACAAACAATAGTACGCAAGTATAAACACCATGGGACCATGCAGCCATCATACCGCTCAGGAAGGAGACGCGTTCTGTCTCCTAGAGATTAACGTACTTTGGTGCGAAAAGTGCAAATCAATCCCAGAACAACAGCAAAGGACCTTGTGAAGATGCTGGAGGAAACAGGTACAAAAGTATCTATATCCACAGTAAAACTAGTCCTATATCGACATAACCTGAAAGGCCGCTCAGCAAGGAAGAAGCCACTGCTCCAAAACCGCCATAAAAAAGCCAGACTACGGTTTGCAACTGCACATGGGGACAAAGATCGTACTTTTTGGAGAAATGTCCTCTGGTCTGATGCAAGCCGAAGAACACCATCCCAACCGTGAAGCACGGGGGTTGCAGCGTCATGCTGTGGGGGTGCTTTGCTGCAGGAGGGACTGGTGCACTTCACAAAATAGATGGCATCATGAGGAAGGAAAATTATGTGGATATATTGAAGCAACATCTCAAGACATCAGTCAGGAAGTTAAAGCTTGGGTGCAAATGGGTCTTCCAAATGGACAATGACGCCAAGCATACTTCCAAAGTTGTGGCAAAATGGCTTAAGGACAACAAAGTCAAGGTATTGGAGTGGCCATCACAAAGCCCTGACCTCAATTCTATAGACAATTTGTGGGCAGAACTGAAAAAGCGTGTCCGAGCAAGGAGGCCTACAAACCTGATTCAGTTACACCAGCTCTGTCTGTTACAAGACCATCGCCAAGCAGCTTGGTGAGAATGTGACAACAGTTGGTGCGATTATTCGCAAATGGAAGAAACACAAAAGACCTGTCAATCTCCCTCGGCCTGGGGCTCCATGCAAGATCTCACCTCGTGGAGTTGCAATGATCATGAGAACGGTGAGGAATCAGCCCAGAACTACACGGGAGGATCTTGTCAATGATCTCAAGGCAGCTGGGACCATAGTCACCAAGAAAACAATTGGTAACACACTACGTCATGAAGGACTGAAATCCTGCAGCGCCCTCAAGGTCCCCCTGCTCAAGAAAGCACATATACAGGCCCGTCTGAAGTTTGCCAATGAACATTTGAATGATTCAGAGGAGAACTGGGTGAAAGTGTTGTGGTCAGATGAGACCAAAATCGAGCTCTTTGGCATCAACTCAACTCGCCGTGTTTGGAGGAGGAGGAATGCTGCCTATGACCCCAAGAACACCATCCCCACCGTCAAACATGGAGGTGGAAACATTACGCTTTGGGGGTGTTTTTCTGCTAAGGGGACAGGACAACTTCACCGCATCAAAGGGACGATGGACGGGGCCATGTACTGTCAAATCTTGGGTGAGAACCTCCTTCCCTCAGCCAGGGCATTGAAAATGGGTCGTGGATGGGTATTCCAGCATGACAATGACCCAAAACACACGGCCAAGGCAACAAAGGAGTGGCTCAAGAAGAAGCACATTAAGGTCCTGGAGTGGCCTAGCCAGCCAGTCTACAGACCTTAATCCCATAGAAAATCTGTGGAGGGAGCTGAAGGTTTGAGTTGCCAAACGTCAGCCTTGAAACCTTAATGGGACAAAATCCCTCCTGAGATGTGTGCAAACCTGGTGGCCAACTACAAGAAACGTCTGACCTCTGTGATTGCCAACAAGGGTTTTGCCACCAAGTACTAAGTCATACTTATTTCCCTCATTAAAATGCAAATCAATTTATAACATTTTTGACATGCGTTTTTCTGGATTTTTTTGTTGTTATTCTATCTCTCACTGTTCAAATAAACCTACCATTACAATTATAGGCTGATCATGTCTTTGTCAGTGGGCAAACGTACAAAATCAGCAGGGGATCAAATACTTTTTTCCCTCACTGTATGTAAACTTCCGACTTCAACTGTACATGTAAACATGCAAACATGCAACACACCATTTTTTTACTTTATTTTTTATTTGTTAATGAAACCTGGTGTTTGAGTTAGATTGAGTTAGATTGAATAGTGCCTGTAGTCTTGATCTGACAGGTAGAGTCCTGAGGGTTGTACCCATGGGACATGGAAAGGGAACCCAGAGCATGACTCTCTCAGTGAACACTTTCTGAACCCAAACTACTTTTCTGCGGCATCCAAATGAACCAATCTAAATTGAATTGAGGACTCAAATAAAACATCCAGTCCTTGCCACAACAACTGAATGATTGATGCTGTAACCAATTTATTTTCTGAAAGCCTACTGCACAACAAACTAATGAAAAGGGACTGTTAATATACTTTCAATGGAGGATAACAGAGCCATTGGATAAGTATGTGTGCGTGTCTGTGTGTGTGTACACACATCCGCCAGGACAGTGTTCTTTATCTCTTTAGACTTGTTTGTTATCAGTGTAGAGTGTTTGTCTTTTGACAGGAAAGGAGAGGGAGCTCTCCTGACATACAGTCCATAGCCCAGTGACCAGTACAGGAGAGCTCCCTCTCCTGACGTACAGTCCATAGCCCAGTGACCAGTACAGGAGAGCTCCCTCTCCTGACGTACAGTCCATAGCCCAGTGACCAGTACAGGAGAGCTCCCTCTCCTGACATACAGTCCATAGCCCAGTGACCAGTTCAGGAGAGCTCCCTCTCCTGACGTACAGTCCATAGCCCAGTGACCAGTACAGGAGAGCTCCCTCTCCTGACGTACATTCCATAGCCCAGTGACCAGTACAGGAGAGCTCCCTCTCCTGACGTACAGTCCATAGCCCAGTGACCAGTACAGGAGAACTCCCTCTCCTGACGTACAGTCCATAGCCCAGTGACCAGTATAGGAGAAGGAGCTCTCCTGACGTACAGTCCATAGCCCAGTGACCAGTACAGGAGAGGGAGCTCTCCTGACGTACAGTCCATAGCCCAGTGACCAGTACAGGAGAGGGAGCTCTCCTGACGTACAGTCCATAGCCCAGTGACCAGTACAGGAGAGGGAGCTCTCCTGACGTACAGTCCATAGCCCAGTGACCAGTACAGGAGAGGGAGCTCTCCTAACTTACAGTCCATAGCCCAAATGAAAGTGAATAAGAGACGGAGGAGAAAGACTGGAGGAGAGAGAGCAGCCATGTGAGAGAGTTTGCTCCTGTCTTCACTGTAATCCTGTCTGTCACCCACTTCCCATGCCCCAGGCCCCCCAGGCCTGAGCTGCTCAGATCACTCATCATGGTCTAGCCATGTACTCAGAATAATCAACCATCCCACTAAATAAACCAATAACTCAACATGGCGTTGACAGATTGATGCCTGTATTAATAATTTGGTGGGTGCGTATATTTGTCCTATTTCACCCATGTACACGCCTAATTGCACATCAACAGATGTTTCACCTTGTCGGCTCAGGGATTCGAACTAGCGACCTCTCGGTTACTGGCCCAACACTCTAACCACTAGGCTACCTGCCGCCCTGTCTGTCTATACAGGTGGACAGAGGTGGAGCCCCCTACTGGGTGATCCCGGAATCAATCCAGGAAGTGAATTGAAATTCGACTCAAGAATGGATTGAATTGAAAACTGAATTCACCCAAATCCTGACAGGTCTGGATTGGAAAGATTTCAGTGTGACCTCAAAGTATCTGAGGTATCCTCTGTTAAACTTTGGATGTGTGGGCTAGAGGCAGGCAAATGTCTGTGCAATCTTTTATTCATATCTTCGTAGCCGGCCGCGACCGGGAGACCCATGGGGCGGCGCACAATTGGGTAGGGGAGGGAATGGCTGGCAGGGATGTAGCTCAGTTGGTAGAGCATGGCATTTGCAACGCCAGGGTTGTGGGTTCGATTCCCACGGGGGGCCAGTATGAAAAATAAAAAAATGATGTATGCACTCACTAACTGTAAGTCGCTCAGGATAAGAGCGTCTGCTAAATGACTAAAATGTTTCAGCCATATGTGGGATGAAGTAACTCCCATTAGTCTTTGTTCATTTTAAGAAGCTGTGAATAGAGGCGAATCTGTTCATCAAGGCATTCATATGGGATGAAGCCAATCAATTAGACAGTCTTTATTTCAGACGTCTGCTGCCTCCCCGCCCCTGGGCTCCTTCTCTCCTCGGTGCTTGGGCTGAGACGCTAGCTAGCTACGCTCGTGTTAGCATTAGCCTGAGGTATAGACCATGAGTCAGCAAGGCTTAGCCACGGCTTCACAGGTTTAGAAGGACCACATACGTATGCCCACAAATGCATACACACACACTTATATGTAAGACACATAAACACATACACACACAAGTGTGCATGCTCTGTAGGGGCATGGTGCTTAGTGAGATGGCATGAGGAAGGAGTGAGGACATTACTGCTGGCTTAAGGCCTGACTCCATACAGCACACCACTCCTGCTGCTGCTCACTGGCCCAACCAACCACTTCAAATCTAACAGATCTAACCCATTCATGTTGTATTCTCACTATACAGAGAGATAGGGGCGGTAGAGAAAGCGGTAGAAGAGAGAAAGAGAAATAGAGAGGAGGGAGCAGACAGAGCGAGAGGGAGCATGGGGGAGATCTCACTGTTTACACCAACTACACAGGGGTGGGCCAATCAAATTGACTAATGTTAATCGGACATAGAGAGATACTGTGTACAGTATAATCAGTTGTATGTGCTTTGCTGCTACTTTTGCTGTGCAGCCTACACGTACCTATCGCTGGGGGGGACAGGTCGCTGTGCTTTCTACTCAGTCTGTCTCTCTCTCTTTCCCTCCCTCTCTCTCTCCTTTTCTGTGTGTTAGGGATCGATCGGTTGGCAGGATTGGCAGGGTTGGGTGGGCAGCCTCACGGATGACCTGCTCGATGGATCAGCTGGGAACAGCAATGGAGTGGTTGGTGTACCAGAGAGGTTCATGACATGCCACCAGAGCAGCTGACGCTGATCAGAGTGGACAGACTCAATGCCGTTTGGATGAACACAAACCACAACAACCCCCAACTTGGGTCACATGGTCCCTACCTCCCGAGTTCCTATCCTCCCAGCATGCACTCTGTGTGACCAGGGCCAGGTGATGTCACACTGGCAGAGAGACAATGTCACATGATGACAACATGATATTAGTAGAAACCGGGAACATGTTCTCCTAACATTCACTAAAATGTTCCCAGCAAACCAAAATTGGTTCTGTGAAAGTTCCCAGAACGTTCGTTAAGTTGCGGCACATTGTCTCATAACACAAAAACTGTCCAGTCATGCTGATAATTACACAATATTTGTATAAAACATTTGCCTGATGTTGCAAGAACATTCCCAGAATACTTTTAGTCTGTTCTTTAAAGGTTACCAGAATGTTTCATTGGGTTGTGGGAACAGTCTGGTGGTGAACTGTCCAGTTGTGCAGATGATTATACAATGTTTCTTGTAGGGTGCAAAAAACATTCACCTGGTGTTACAAGAACGTTCCCAGAACACATTTTTCTGTTCTTTAAAAGTTCCTAAAACATTCCTTTAGGTTGTGGGAACATTGTGGAGATATGACAAGAGATAGGTTCCCAAAACACTAAAACTGTCCAGTTGTGCTGACATTCAGATCATGTTTGAATCAGGGTGCACAAAACTTCCTTTAAATAACTTGTATTGTTGTGTATTCATATGCTTCTTAAATACAGGCTCAGAACCTTCAAACTAAATGCAAACATTTTATCTTGTAATAAACTGCCTCCAATTAAGATCCTACATCTGTAGCATATTTATTTTAGGTTTAACATAATATTCCATTGATGTTCACATAATATACTGTACATTTTACCTTGTCTTGGAGGTCCTCAGAACGTTTCAAGAACATTTTAAAAATGTTATATTTAGGTTTTACTTAATATTACCACAACATTCTCAGCATGCAAATGTCTAGTTCCTTAAAGCATAAGAAAGCAGATTGGAATACATCCCCATTATGTTTCTCTCCATATTTAATGGCATTTCGCATTTAAGGATTGTATTGTAGGCCCACTACAAGGTGATATAGACACATGAATTTCATTCATAGGATATTTGAACAGCATTTAATCATACAAAAACAACCAGAATATTTAATTAAGTTGTGGGAACAGTGTGGGTACATTACAAAGGGGGTGATTACATATGCACGCACCACTTTTCCGTTATTTATTGTTTTAGAATTTTTTTGAAACAATTTTTTTCATTTCACTTCACCGATTTGGACTATTTTGTGTATGTCCATTACATGAAATCCAAATGAAAATCAATTTAAATTACAGTTTGTAACGCAACAAAATAGGATGCCAAGGGGGATGAATAATTTTGCAAGGCACTGTACATGTTAGAATCACCTTTGGCAGCGATTACAGCTGTGAGTCTTTATGGGTAAGTCTCTAAGAGCTTTGCAAACCTGGATTGTACAATATTTTCCCATTATTCTTTAAAAAAATATTAAAGCTCTGTCAAGTTGGTTGTTGATCAGCCATTTTCAAGCCATCAATGTTTAAGCCGAATTAAGTCAAAACTGTATCTAGGCCACTCAGGAACATTCAATGTCGTCTTGATAAGTACACTACATGACCAAAAGTATATGGACACCTGCTCGTCGAACATCTCATTCCAAAATCATAGGCATTAATATGGAGTTAGTCCCCCCTTTGCTGCTATAACAGCCTCCACTCTTCTGGAAAGGCTTTCCACTAGATGTTTGAACATTGCTGCGTGGACTTGCTTCCATTCTGCCACAAGAGCATTAGTGAGGTCGGGCACTGATGTTGGGCGATTAGGCATGGCTCGCAGTCAGCATTCCTATTCATCCCAAAGGTGTTCGATGGGGTTGAGGTCAGGGCTCTGTACAAGCCAGCCAAATTCTTCCACACCAATCTCAACAAACCATTTCTGTATGGACCTCACTTTGTGCACGGGGGCATTGTCATGCTGAAACAGGAAAGGGCCTTCCCCAAACTGCTGCCACAAAGTTGGAAGCACAGAATCGTCTAGAATGTCATTGTATGCTTTAGCATTAAGATTTCCCTTCACTGGAACTAAGGGGCCTAGCTCGAACCATGAAAAACAGCCCCAGACCATTATTCAGCCTCCATCACACTTTACAGTTGGCACTATGCACTTCACAATAACAGCACTTACAGTTGACCGGGGCAGCTCTAACAGGGCAGAAATTGGACAAACTGATTTGTTGGAAAGGTGGCATCCTATGACGGTGCCACGTTGAAAGTCACTGAGCTCTTCAGTAAGGTCATTCTACTGCCAATGTTTGTCTATGGAGATTGCATGGCTGTGTGCTCGATTCTATACACATGTCAGCAACCGGTGTGGCTGAAATAGCCGAATCCACTAATTTGAAGGGGTGTCCACATACTTTTGTATATATAGTGTAACTCCAGTGTATATTTGGCTCTGCATTTTAAGTTATTGCGCAGCTGAAAGGTGGATTTGTCTCCTAGTGTCTGTTGGAAAGCAGACTGAACCAGGTTTTCCTCTAGGACTTTGCCTGTATATAGCTCTATTCCTTTCCTTTTTATCAACAAAAAAAACTCCCTAGTCCTTGCCGATGACAAGCCATCATAACATGATGCAGCCACCACCATACTTGAAAATATGAAGAGTGATACAGTGATGTGTTGTGTTGGATTTGTCGCAAACATAATGCTTTGTATTCAGGACATAAAGTTAATTGCTTTGCCACATTTTTTGCAGTATTACTTTAGTGCCTTATTGCAAACAGGATGCATGTTTTGGAATATTTGTATTATGTACAGGCTTCCTTCTTTTCACTCTGTCATTTAGGTTAGTATTGTGGAGTAACTACAATGTTGTTGATCTATCCTCAGTTTTCTCCTATTACAACCATGTAACTGGTTTAAAATCACCATCGGCCTCATGGTGAAATCCCTGAGCAGTTTCCTTCCAGGAAGGACGCCTGTATCTTTGTAGTGACTGGGTGTATTGATGCACCAGATCACTATGAGGCATGGGAATTGTTTATGTTAATTGTAGCTTTTGGTCTGATACCTGCCAGGGGGAGGATGCATAGTTTTCTTTCAGATAGCCTGTAATGTCTCTTCCTCATAACCTGAAATAATATCTGGTCACCCAAATATTTCACTGTTCATTTCTGTTGTCATCAACCTACTAATTAAGCATATGGCCATGGACTGACAAAGGACAGCAAGGAAGGTATTGTTTTCTCCTTGGCATTATCGAGAAAAACCTGGAAGAAACACA